CGAGTTAGTGATATAGAGGTAGTGTAATTATCCATCATCTTAACACCTATGCTAAGATTTATAAGGAAAATCCAAGGTCATTTGAAATTGTTAAAATCATAACACTAGAATAAAATTTCACAATTTGAAACCAATAATTTATAAAATTAAGTTCCATATTCTTGAAATTGAAAGATTACAGGGAAAATCACACTTTTAGTCCCTGAAATAGGCACGAAAATGAAATGTCAGACTTGTATTCCCAAGTTTGTAAATGTTATCCCTCAATTGTCCTAAATGTCGTAAATGTGGTCCTTTGAGGGGTGAACTATACAATGTGGGCGAGAGTACATTTCACCCCTTAAAGGACCACATTTACAATAATTTGGACAATTGAAGTGTGACATAACCATGACATTTACAATATCAAAAATACGGGTCTGTCATTTCATTTTCGTGACTATTGCATGGACTAAAAGTGCAATTTTCCCAGATTATAAATACTTCTTTATTACTAACATGAATAGTTTTATCTTCACTTGCAATAAGTATTTTGAGACCAATATCATTTGTAACTTCTAAAACAATAATTCTAATAGGATATAATTAGGCACAAATTTCTTCAATGAAAGACCAATATAAGACAATAACATACCTTGATAGTTATTGATAATCAATGCATATACTCTAAAAAAATCACAATCAATTATGTTGTCTTTGAAATCTAATATCTTCCTCCGTTTTTAGTTGCAACAGATCACTTTGCATATTTATCAATGCACATCTTTGACCGTCAATATATCATATTCTCTAATAGTAAAAATAAAATAAAAATCATATTTAAAAATTTGTAGCGAGATAAATTGAACAATATATATATTTTTAAAAATAATTCTAATAAAGCAATCAATAAAGTAGAACATGTGAACGATGTAAAATTTAACATGTTGTGAGTAATAAGAAATGGAGGAAGCATAACACCTAATATTAGGTGTTAGGATTTTTTTTGGCATTAAAACTTTTTTTTCCTCCATTAGAAGGAAATATGGCTCTATTAATTGAATCAATATTCTAAGATTTTTTTTGTGACTCTTTATTAAGCTAATCAATTACTCGTAATTTTTTTAACCAAACACATAGCTTTTAATTGTCTTAAGGGATAAATAGGCCCTTGTATCGGTTGTGTAAGCTCAATTCAGTCTTTGAACTAAAAAAGTCCAATTTACACTCCGAGCCGTTAAATAATGGTTCAAATTTCATTTTCACAGGTAACCAACGGGTCACCCGTCATGTCACCGGTCGATCTGATTGCCACTTGTGCATCTGAAGTTGAAACTAAAAGCTCAAATAGGTCCTTGAACCCATCACAGTTGATCAAATGACCCATAAACTATTAAAAAGTGTCAAAATTGTAATAAATCAAAAATTAAAAATAGAAACAACAAAAAAATCAACAAAAAATATAAATATGAAAAAGGTGAAACATGGCATCAGTTTAATTTCACACTAAAATTGGCTGAATTGGATGATTCTACTAATTTATGGAAAAATTATATTTAAAAAATCTGTTACTAATAAATAAAGTAAAAAGTTATATGAAAAAGTTGATAAAATGATGCTCTACAATAACTTCAGTCAATAAAGCAAAAAAAGTAACTTTAGGCTTACTTATTATTATCATTATACAATTTAACGCACCAAATCAAAAGTTACGTATTTGATAAAAAAGATGACCGATAAGCCTCATCAGCCAAAAAAGAGAGCACCAAACGGGCTCTTATTTTTACAACAAACTCCCTAGTCACTAGTATAAACACTCTGTTTCGGCACAATCATCGAGCCACAGCCCAAATACCCAAACACCTACGCTATATTCATCGTTGACGTGGTTAGGGTTAGAGAGCGACCTTCTCCTATACCTATTCATCGACACCGGCGATAGCCAGCCTCTATTCTTCTCGCCTATCCCTTCTCCGGCCAGCTACCCCATTGCTTTTGGCTATCCCCTCCTAAGGCTCACAATCTTACCCATACTACCTGGGGATGCCTCAGTCGAAAATCTCATCTCCTCCTTCCGATTGTTCCAAGCACAATTATCTACCGGAGATGTTCGTCGTCACTTTATCACAGGTAATTGCTTCATATATGTTTTCATTCATGTATGATGAGTTCGAACACTCATTATGTGGGAATCAATTTTTAAAATTTCGATGTAGTTAGTCTGAAGCTTCGCGTATATGTCAAATTTGATATTTTATTGAATGAACTAAAATATATGTTTCTTAGATTTGTTATAATTGGACTAACTCTGAGCTTTTGAGCATTAGATTCATTAAATTATTAATAAAACTTCTAAGAGCGTTGAAAAGGGGTGGACCTGTTTGTGTTTTTTTGGCGTTTTCGTTAACAATATAGCTATGCTTTCAAAATTGATAAATACATGTTGGGTTTTCTGAACAGGTACATTTAACATAAGCGATTTCAAAATGAAATGCTTAGAGGATAATTTTGATAAAAGATTATATTCGGAGGGTCATATTTGTTTAATCTCAATTTCAATAATTCAGATAAATTCTCTTAGGTTAAATTATGCCCTATCCCAATATTCTATTCACATTATAGGAAACTGTTTTTACTTAGCTTAACCAAAACTGGTTAAAATCTTACTTAACATTGCTCGTACTTTGGTGTTTTTAAACTGGTTAAACCTTACTTCTATGAATAAACTGAGGGTCATGACCCGAGCATACAAAAGAGATATAGTTTCAGGTTGTTAAGTAGAAAACAGAATCACTAAACGATGTATGCACCCATTTAAAACACTATAGAAGGTGCATACACCGTTTTAAATAGCTCAAAATAAAGGGGGAATTTGACTTTGCACCCCACATTTGGGATGAAATTGGACTTTGCACCCCATTTCAAAAAAACTTTGATTTTGCACCCCATTTCACTTCAAAATCCTTTGACTTTGCACCCCATTTTGAAATTTTCCTTCACAAATTTTAGATGATAGGGTGCAAAGTCAAATGTTTTTTAAAATGGGGTGCAAAGTCCAATATCACCCAAAAAGTGGGGTGCAAAGTCAAATTCTCCCCAAAATAAAACCTTTAAATAACTAAAAAGTTAAATCAAAAAAAGTTGTAAATAATAAACATTACAAGAAAATTATAGAAGTTGGGCGGTGGGATATTTTATAATTGCTTAGACGAACCGGCGAAGCAACTCCTGAAGTCTGTACCGAGCTTCGGCTGAGCAGCTCTTCTTCAACTCGTTGTTCAAGCTGAATGATCTTGTCCCAACAAAATACTTTGATTGCACTAAACAAAGTATAGGTTTCCATATTAGTCCATTTAATGTACACGTATTGATTACATGGGTTGAAACCAAGCTTTAATAATTTAGAAAACTACATAAATCATTTCTGGTGACCAGAATAAAAATACTTTGATGTATTTGCATCTTTAGTACACTGTAAAAAATGTTATTTAAAATTTTCTATTCACTTATGTGGAATCTAGATATCCTATGCATTTCAAGTATCTTTTATACTCCGTATATGTAAATTATCTTTCAATGACTTTCCTTGTTGTAACTGTTTACCCTATTTTGAGAAATACAACAATGCTACATCCAGGGTAGTTCGTATCAGGTCGAGGCCGAGGTCATTTGAGGACCTTCCCGGTGGAATATTTTGATGATTTTTTTTGAACATGTTCCTCATCAAGTCTAGTTTATCCAAACCAAATTTCAGCTAAAAATTCAATCTCAAAAAAGTTCTCTACAAAAACTGTGCTTTATATATATATATATATATATATATATATATATATATATATATATATATATATATATATATATATATATATATATATATAAGAATGATCAAGTCCCCACGTTCGGACAAGACCCTCCGTCTGAACATCCTCGTTTGGGGTCCTTCCCGGTGAAATTTTTTGATGAAATTTTTTGAGCATGTTCCCCATCAAGTCTAGTCTAGGTATGGTTCTCATCTGCTACGATGTACTCTGCTGCGGCCATGATCAATTGATATCAAGAACACGGTCTTGTTTCACTTTTTCACACCAGACCCCTGAATTGATTTTGAATGAATCTAACAACTTTACTGCTTTTAATTTCTCTTGACCCCTCAATTTTACACATTTTAATGCTTCAGTGTGATAACAACGTGGTGGTCTGGTAGATTTTAGTTCCACTTGACGCACAACTTCTTTGCATACTGAAAGTTTAATTTTACTGTAAAGTCTTTTATGTGGATTAAGGGTTATCTAAGCAATCAGTAATAAGATTATTTCTAATAATAGATTGTGTGCATTGCAACTTGCTTACCCAAAAAAGCTCTCTTTCATGGATTAATTTATGTATTTATAACCCAAATCATGATTTCGATGATCACCCATAAGTTGCAAAAACATTTATAACCCAATAAGTTTGGCTACAGATCTATACTTGTTTTTTAATACTTGTGTTTCTACTTCTACTTGTTTGAGCAGTTTGTTGTGACCTTTCCAGCCATCCGGTGTTCATTACTTAATGTAGATGCCATGGATATCAGTGGGGAACAACATCTTGCATCTAATTCTTGGGTTAATTTGGTATAAATAATTTGAATGAAAAATGTTTTTTGTTCTTTCAAAGGTTTAATATATTTCTATAAAAAATATAAAAAATAAACTTTTTTGAAATAGTCTTACTTATTTTAAAAGTAAGAGAAGTGTTGAGTTTCCCATAATTCTTTCTTTTTGTTTTGGGGTCATGATGTTGTTAGGTTGTTAGAGATGTGGGCCATTCGGCCTATGAACTAAAATGGTTGGCTGTCATTCGACTCCAAAATGAAATTAGAAGCTGCAAAACATTCTGATATGTGTATATCTGCTATTAGGTAAAGTGTCCCTTACTCACTTCCTAATTTGAGTTCACTAAGTTTTCCATATAGAAATCTACCATATATATATATAAAGTGTGGAGAGAGTTAAGTAGGTCTTATTTTCGTGTATACAATGCACTTCATAAACGTGGTGGTCCACTTCTGAGGACATCAAGAGGGGGCTATGTGGCATAAAAAAAAGTTGCCAACATTCAAGACTGAGGCATAAATCAGGTATTTACATTTCTTTGTTAGATGTTACAATATAGCACTTTGTTTGTCGAGGTTTACGATGACCGTGAGGGTATTGTTTGAATATCATTCCACATTGGATCTGTGAGTATTCTATATATTCTGAGCCAAATTTCTTACTAATTGGTAAAACAAGTCAAGCTGCATTTATGTCAGTCCCCTGACATCACACTATGTGATGTAAAAAAGAGGCTCTGAAAAGAAAAGAATATTGGATAAGGTTGCGGAATGGGTGTTTGTTTGCGAAGAAGAGTGCTGTCTTGAGGACTATAATTGGGTAAGCATAATAAACACCCAATTGAACTATATAAACTGTAAACAGCTGGTTTTCCGTTTTGCTTTTATGATTTTTGAAATAGGTGTATGCTTTTCTAGGTTTTTTCCGTATGTAGAATGGCTTCTTTTCTTGAAAAAACATTCTGAAACAATGTGTATGCTTTCTAGGTTTTTTTTTCCCAAGCAACAGTTTTCATTCATTACCAAAGGTAGGTCAATGAACAAAACTTTGACTCCTTATAGGTTGTAGACTTTCAGAAGTGAATAGATTGAGTATGAGTTTTCCACCCCATTAATTCCATGACTTGGAACTTGGAAGTAATCTCATGAAGGAAGATAATGGAAAACATGCACCAGACATTTATAGGTACCATAAAATACCCATAATTAGCTCAAAGAGTACTCAAGAAGGAAAAGTTTCACGGAATGCTAGTGGAAAGGAAAAGTTCTAATGACAGTTTATTTCTTATGTTTGATTTCGCATATGTTTGTATTAGATCTTATATATGTTTGGGTTTCTTTGTTTTTACATTATATGAATAAATGGTTTAAATGGTTTTTCTCAAATATCCCTAACAAATCTATCAAATTTTAGACAATGTTTTTTGTTCCTCTAAGTTTCACCCTATTTTTGATTTCCCTAACAATGCAACACATTTTCCCCCAACATTGGGCACCACCCGTCGCGCAACGCGCGTGCCACGCTAATATATATATATATATATATATATATAGAAAAGATCCTGTCCAGTCGGAGGGACAGGATCCTCCGTCCGGCCGCTGCCGTTTGGGGCGGTTCCCGGTGGAGTTTTTTGATGAAATTTTTATGGAATGTTCCCGATCAAGTCTAGTTAATCCACAAAAAAATCAGCTAAAAATTCGATCGGGAAGGCAGTGAAATAATTTTTTGAAACATAAATGCGTTTTATATGTTTAATTTGGAGCAGTTATCTTCAACAAATTATTTGACTGCCTTCCCGATCGAATTTCTAGCTGAAATTTTTGTGAATAAACTAGACTTGATGAGGATCATTCCATAAAAATTTCATCAAAAAACTCCACCGGAAACCGCCCCAAACGGTGGCGGCCGGACGGAGGATCCTGTCCCTCCGGCTGGACAAGATCATTCCTCTATATATATGTGTGTGTGTGTGTATATATATATATATATATATATATATATATATATATATATATATTCCACCGGGAAGGGCCCCAAAAGCCCTCGGCCGGACGGCGGTTTCAGGCCGACCTGACGGGATTGTTACTCATTCTACATCTACACCTTGTCGGGTTGAATTTAAATGAACCAACCGGGCCAGAAGACCAGGATCTGTATGGCCCCTTTGTTCAACCCGGGCCTGTATCTATTCAAATTTCCACAAAGATTAGGGTTTGGGTGAAACCTAATTTCCGCTCCTATATATCATGTGCAGTCTTCTCTGAGCATTCACCTATTCCTCATCATCATAGCGGAAATTATCTCTGAGCGTTATTTATTATCCATTTCTCCCTATTTTTCGTTTTGTTAAAATTAGGTTTGATTATTACGTAGTAATTATTAATGAATATTCACTAGACGAAGAAGAGCGATGATGAAATACAGAGATTGTCATGCACCACTCTGACATCCTTCGGAGAGAGTGATGATAATTGTCTCATACCCATACTATTCTCTGAGCTCTTCTTTTGTTGATTTTATTCTGCCTTTTTTGCTTTAGTTTTAGTTGAAATTGACAAGCCGCGTGATGCGATCTCTTAGATCGAACCATGATGCGGACCGTATTATTAGCTTTAAGCTTATGTGGAGAATCATTGGTGACTGATGGCTTCATTCAAAGTTTCTACTATTATTCATTCATTGCATTCGAAATTATATGTTTATTTTGTGCATACAAAATAGAAGTTTAGAATGTGAAATACTTTGTTTTTTATTTCGCAATCAGTTTCTCTTTTAAGAAATTTCTAGAGGAATTATATATTTTGATGTACCTTTAGCAGAGAGTTCGGCTGCTATCATTTTCTCAGCATTGATCTAATACTAAAAGAAGCCCAGGACTGGATGTATGTTTTGATTAATAACTTGGCTTGGCTTTGGGATTCCCATAGGAAATAGGAAGGGACTGTGTTGGATTGGAACTAGACAATGAAGTGATGCAAATGTGTTCAATTTCTGGTTCATTGTCTTCTGATTTGATTATAATAATGCCAATAATGTTTGAAACGAAGAATCTCTAGGCTTTGAAATTAAGGGATTACACCAATTCTGAGAATGTGTCAATATAGTTTGTGGGGCTGGTGTTCAATGATGATTCATTTGCTTTAAGCACACCGAAAGAGGGATGCTGGGCGGGGAAGGGTGGCACTTTGTTTGAGTTGAAGATTTGTTCTTTCTTCCAATTTTCTGTTGTGAGCATAGCTTTATGAGTGTCTGTTTCCTCCATGGATGCAAAGATGAGAGCTTTGATCGATTCGTTAAATGGAAGAGGGGATGTGGTTCTTTTTTACCTTCGACTTGAATCATAGGAAGATGAGAGCTTTGATCGCTTTGAACGTTTGTGTACTACTTGTTGCAGGTACCATCCCCTCACTTGTTCACACCACCCTCATCAACCAATGGAAAGCAAGGAAGCATCATGTCACAAATTTTGGCAACAGTAACCACCACCTCTTTGACCAATAGGAGGCCTCATTAATTTTTGTTCTTACTATACCCACCGTCAGCTACAGCCAATAGGAATACTTTCCTCAACATTTAAAGTGTGGCCCGGACCCATCCTTTACAATGCATATCCTCTGTTATAATTCTTGGCCAATTAAAACATTAATAACTGACGTTGACACAATTGGGCAGGAGTACTATGCGTTGAATTTCTTTTGCTTTTAGATAAAGATAGATGTATTGTTCTTCATTTCAATTTAAAATAATTTCATGCACGCAAAATAGGGGCAATAGATCAGCCACTAGTCATGGACTCATGGCCCAACTTATTTACCTCAAATCCCTATTCTAAGTTGCACATCAAATTCCTAAGATACCATTTGCATTAATTTGGCAAGCTTGTGGTTGTAAACTTCTTTATGATACTAATAATGCTGCTCAAGATTGAGCAGACACCTAATTGCACATTGTAAATTGCATTTCTGTTTGTTTATGGAGATACCATTGGAAAGACAGGAAGCTCAAAGTTGGTTAAGAGTCGATTTTTGAACTGGAGACTTTAGATACTTGCTTTTGTTCCTCTTCGTGTAATTTTTTGAACTTCATATTACACAGCTAACAACTTCTGTTAGTATATAGTCATTCTATGCTTTAAAATGTGAAAGCAAAATAATTTCCTGCGCTTGCACTGTGGATTCTTACCTGTTTGCCTATGCTTGAATAGTTAACATCGTTGAGGGTAAATCTTCTTTTTAATTTTTTGCTGGAAAAAATATAAATTAATTTCACATAAAATGATTCTCTTTTGGGAATAAAGCTTGGTTGTTGTTTTTGTCACATAATATTATTCCTTGTAATGTGATTTTTTACTATATAAAATTATTCCTTCTAATGTTTAATTGCTTCTTTTGTATTGTATTCCTTCTCAGGTCGAGAGTTCTAGACACTCCAGCTTCCTCAGCAACAAACAGCGAGATCTATTGACTCCAGCTCCCATTAATTCTTTGTTCAAACTAGAGACATAAAGACATGCTAGGGTTTTCATACGGAGAGTTGTTTTTATTGCTTGGAGCTACTGCGGCTTTAATTGGTACTCTTCCTCTGTAATGGCGGTGTAAACTGTCTTCGATTCACCCGGTTTTTCACTATAGTTCTGATAATCCTGTTTCCTATTCCCAAAACTTGCTTCTCAGTATGAGATTGATTATATCCTTCATGTGTTGAGTTATATATGCTGAGGCAGGGTTTTGATTTGTCAGGACCTAAGGACCTTCCAGTCATAGCAAGAACTGCTGGGAGGTTATCTGGCCGTGCTATTGGCTATGTTCAAATGGCCCGTGGTCAATTTGAGAGTGTCATGCAGCAAACTCAAGCTCGACAGGTTTCTTTTTATCTTCCTTCACCTATTTCTGTAGGTTTTTACTCTTCTTTTAACTTATATGTAGTATATAGTAATCGTCATTCGATATAGATGTATACTCCAGTATCTTTTTCTCATACCGGGCATACTTGTGTATGGCGGCAATGATCTTTTCTCTGGCATTTATCTTAAAGGTCCACAAAGAGCTACAAGATACAATTGCTCAATTAGAAGCCATACAACATGAAATCCGAACCATTTCTTTTGTGAATCCGGGTCCATTAACCACAAGGCTAGTTGATAACATAAAAAACCACTCACCCACTGCTGGTGCTGGTACATCGATGGAAAATGGACCTGAAAAGTCTGAAAGTAAGGGCACAACTATCAGTAATACACCCAAGGTACTTGCCATCTCTATATATTCACTTGGAGTACCAATTTTTCATATCATTTTCCAATTAAAGGATTGATGTAGCTGTACTTGCAGGATTGTAACTTTAAGCCCTCAACCTCTTCTGATATGAACAGTCAAGCAACAGCATATGCAAAACTTGCTGAAATCACATTATCAAAACCCAAGTATGAAAACTGCGAAGCTCTGAATGAGGTTCCTGATAAGTCTGGTAATCTTGTGCTTCCAGTCTCTGCTAAAAGTGCAGGTCTATTGCCTGATCATACAGGTATATATCATCTTTTTTCCTGCCCTCTCTGTCCAAAAATATTAGTTTGTTTGAAAACTTATCTTGCTGTCACAAAAGAAGCTGATTTTTATTAGGCTAAAGGGTCAAATAGGTACATGAACTAACCCAAAGTGTTCAATTAACCCCTTATATAGGAGTTTCTGCCTGGACGTCTCCAATTGGGGCGGTTCCCAGTGGAATTTTTTGATGAATTTTTTTGAGCATCTTCTTCATTAAGTCTAGTTTACCCATACCAAATTTCAGCTAAAAATTCAACCGAGAAGGCAGTCGAATGATTTTCCAAAAAATTAAACAGCGCAGTACATTTCGGAAAATCATTAGACTGTCTTCCCGGTTGAATTTTTAGCTGAAATTTGGCATGGGTAAACTAGACTTAATGAAGAAGATTTTCAAAAAAAATCATCAAAGAATTCCACCGGGAACCGCCCCAATTGGCGACGTCCGGGCAGAAACTCATATATAAGGGGCTAATTGAACACTTTAAGTCAGTTCATGTACCTATTTGACCCTTTAGCTTTTTTATTATAATGAATGTATTCTTTTATTATATCCCCAAACAAGTTAAGAATGTTAAATCTATATAAAGCAATAAATAATTTTTAAAAACATAGCTGAATTTTGCTATTTCAAGTAGTTGTACCTCAATGAAATTAATCGGGTGTACTTTTGTTAAATTGACTTTTTCAGTGACATAGTTAGTTTTGTTTGCTTATTTATATGGACTAGTTCTAGAGGCCGGGTTTTTTCTATTTTTACCATGGGTCATCTCGAAACAGTCTCCCCCTGCTTTAGCACAGGGGTTAGGCTGTGTACATCTGACCCCCTTACCCCTCCGTAGGTGGGAGCCTTTGCGTCACTGGGGTAATGCTGTTGTTGCTGCTATTATTTTCTATTTTTATCTTTTTTATATTTTTATCCTATTGATCTTTTTTATCTTATCTTTTTTTATATTTATCTTATCTTTGTTTATCTTTTTATCTTTTTCATCTCTTTAAGTTCCAATTTCATGTTAGCTGACCCCAAACCCTTTCGGGACCAAGTCTCGGATGTTGTTGTTGTTGTTGTTTCTTTTCTCTATTTTTAGGAGTTGGTGGTTTTCGTAGGGGAGGGGGAGCTAGTGGAGAGGCATCTGATTCCTAGGGTATGGGGGGATAGCATACCTTGTCTACTCTAATGTCGTATTAAATAGTAGCTTTTTTTTTTTGTCTGAATTGTGCATCTCTTTTGATGTACTGGGATTGGAGGAGGATTTAAGTTGTGGGTTGTTGCTCAGGGAGGTTGCATGAATTTTCCCTTAATGTTTAGGCAGTGGCATGAACTTACCCTTCAATCTGGGCATGACCTTAAGTCAGTACATCCTGCCCTCTGATAGAGCTATACCTTGGGGGATGCTTTATTGATGATGAGCTACATCTTTGGCTTCAAGCAACTTTTTATGCATGAGGCTGCATAACGAACAGCACCTCTTTTAACATATATATATATATATATATATATATATATATATATATATATATACATGCCTCATCGTCAAACTGTTCACAATAAATCAAATAGAGGCAGTAGTAAATGTTCACCTTTTCTTGAATTGCTTGCTCTAGCTGAAGCAAAGGGATCTGACATTGTGCTAGAAGCTATTATAGAGGCAGATGTGGCACAAAATTCAAAGAAGTTTTTCTCACAGCCCCAAAATCAAATGAAATGAAATAGAGGTACCTGGTTATTCAATATAATAGTGTAGCTACTCAGATTAACCGTTTGGTTGTGTGACATCTATCACATCTGCTGGCTTGGGAAGTGTATTGATTTACAAAACCAGGTCATTCCACCCCAGATTACCTCCTAGGAGTTCTTACTGTGATTAGAATGTCCTTTGGTCCTAACATATCAAAATCCTAGCTCAGCATACAGAATTCAATGCATGAAGTATGTAAAACAACTCGGTTAACAACCTCAATTGATATGTAGCCGTTAAGATTTGCAAACAAGAATATCAGTGTGAAGTTAAATTCAGGGTTAATCAAAGACACAGATTCACCGTCTCTACAGATTCCCATTAAAGTTGAAGTAACTCTGGGGAATGGAATGAACTCTGCATATGAAAAGAGTTTTTAAACAGTGAGATAATGCAATGTTTTGAGGAGCCCTAAAAAAACTGTAGGTGGATGATGAAGACCAGATGCCTAGGCGTAGCTTCTCAGCAGGGTCTAGTAGTAGGTAGGCAGGGACTTATAACTGACAGTTATATACTCATTCTCACATGTATTCTTTTTTTTTTCTGATTTATTTCTATCTTCTTAATGAATGGAAAGAGTATTTTTTTTAGAGAAATCATTATATTTCTCCAATACAGTCATATTATATTGTGAAAAACTGTAAGCGATGCTATAAACATGACCCGGAAAGCACCCATTATTTTTTTTCTTTTCCATATCAATTTACAATCAATACAAATGCATCATTAGTATGATTTTCATCTTCAGTTTTCAGATTCTGATTTGTCCCATAAACAAAAAAAAGGAAGGAGATTAAATGTCTAAACCGCATGTATGTTCATATCGTATGATAAACATTATGGAACCAGGTTTTAAGCATGTTCATAAACGACACAATTGTAGCTATCACATTAATTGTACTTTTTCGTAGTCTAAATAATTTCAAACAAAATTTGACATTGTCTTTCACATCTCCCATGCACACAAAAGGGAGTCTGCTGTGGAAGAAGCCAATCAGGCCATTATTGCTCGTACATAGAAATGTTACGATATATGCTTGATTAGTTCATCACATCACTTTAGACTCATTCTTCTAAATAGTCCTTACATATAAACTCACTATTCTTTGTTTGCTATTTGCCTCTTTGGTAGGTTTTGAGAATATCATTGTTGTGATATTGTTTGTGAAAAAACAATGTTTTGATTAACACCAGTTCTCTTATATTGCTATGCTTCCAGATACTTGAGGCTATGATGATGAAATTCCCCCTTTTCTGACCCAGTTCAACGAACATGGATCTTTAAATCTGAGCCTTGAACAACGAACATGGATCTGACAGGTAGCTTTGTAGATAAAACATGACAACATGCATCTTTAAATCTGAGCCTTGAACAACTATTGTGGACTCCAACTATAATGATGGATGTTTAACTAACTAACTTTTACTGGTAATTAGAAAACTGTGAGAATTTATCAATTTGTATTTAGTTAACCATCGTGTGATCATTTTTACATAAACTTTTCATGGTCAAAATAAATAAACTACCAAAGTATTAATACATTGAGGTTTCATTGGTAAAAAAAATCAATTTTTCCAGAATCATGTTGTTAATTTGACATCACTATTTTGATTGTTAGACTAATTTAGGTTTGATCTGATATTTTAGGTATTTTAGTTTCAAATTCTTAAATTAATTTGCTATTACATCTCACATCTAATTCTTGGGTTAATTTGGTATAAATAATTTGAATGAAAAAAAGTTTTTTTGTTCTTTCAGAGGTTTAATATATTTCTATAAAAAATATACAAAATAAACTTTTTTGAAAAAGTCTTACTTATTTTAAAAGTAAGAGAAGTGTTGAGTTTCCCATAATTCTTTCTTTTTGTTTTGGGGTCATGATGTTGTTAGGTTGTTAGAGATGTGGGCCATTCGGCCTATGAACTAAAATGGTTGGCTGTCATTCGACTCCAAAATGAAATTAGAAGCTGCAAAACATTCTGATATGTGTATATCTGCTATTAGGTAAAGTGTCCCTTACTCACTTCCTAATTTGAGTTCACTAAGTTTTCCATATAGAAATCTACCATATATATAAAGTGTGGAAGGAGTTAAGTAGGTCTTATTTTCGTGTATACAGTGCACTTCATAAACGTGGTGGTCCACTTCTGAGGACATCAAGAGGGGGCTTGATCGAATTTCTAGCTGAAATTTTTTGTGGATAAACTAGACTTGATTAGGATCATTCCATAAAAATTTCATCAAAAAACTCCACCGGAAACCGCCCCAAACGGTGGCGGCCGGACAGAGGATCCTGTCCCTCCGGCTGGACAAGATCATTCCTCTATACATATATGTATGTGTGTGTGTGTGTGTGTATATATATATATATATATATATATATATATATATATATTCCACCGGGAAGGGCCCCAAAAGCCCTCGGCCGGACGGCGGTTTCAGGCCGACCTGACGGGATTGCTACTCATTCTACATCTACACCTTGTCGGGTTGAATTTAAATGAACCAACCGGGCCAGAAGACCAGGATCTGTATGGCCCCTTTGTTCAACCCGGGCCTGTATCTATTCAAATTTCCACAAAGATTAGGGTTTGGGAGAAACCTAATTTCCGCTCCTATATATCATGTGCAGTCTTCTCTGAGCATTCACCTATTCCTCATCATCATAGCGGAAATTATCTCTGAGCGTTATTTATTATCCATTTCTCCCTATTTTTCATTTTTTTTAAAATTAGGTTTGATTATTACGTAGTAATTATTAATGAATATTCACTAGACGAAGAAGAGCGATGATGAAATACGGAGATTGTCATGCACCACTCTGACCTCCTTCGGAGAGAGTGATGATAATTGTCTCATACCCATACTATTCTCTGAGCTCTTCTTTTGTTGATTTTATTCTGCCTTTTTTGCTTTAGTTTTAGCTGAAATTGACAAGCCGCGTGATGCGATCTCTTAGATCGAACCATGATGCGGACCGTATTATTAGCTTTAAGCTTATGTGGAGAATCATTGGTGACTGATGGCTTCATTCAAAGTTTCTACTATTATTCATTCATTGCATTCGAAATTGTATATTTATTTTGTGCATACAAAATAGAAGTTTAGAATGTGAAATACTTTGTTTTTTATTTCTCAATCAGTTTCTCTTTTAAGAAATTTCTAGAGGAATTATATATTTTGATGTACCTTTAGTAGAGAGTTCGGCTGCTATCATTTTCTCAGCATTGATCTAATACTAAAAGAAGCCCAGGTATGGATGTATGTTTTGATTAATAACTTGGCTTGGCTTTGGGATTCCCATAGGAAATAGGAAGGGACAAGATAATAAAAAGGCATCTTATTAGTGAAAGTAGCATTCCACTGAACTTTATATTACATAAGTGTTCATTTAAATGAGCTTTTAATCTTTTTATGAAGATATATTACAACTGAGTTTTTGTCTTCATAGGAAGCTTTTCGTAAGGAAGTAAAGAAGAAGTGAGTATATATGAGATCAAGAATGGCAACTTCTCATTAAAGATCACAAACTATGGTGTACTGTAATCTCTGTTAATCTGTTATCTTTTCTGATAAAATGGTTTGGTTCTTCATGCCCTTTTCCCTATTCTTAATGTAAATATAGACTTTCCTATAGGTTAATTAGCCTAAGATATTCTTTTTTAATCTTTGGCTAGGAAAACTAGAAGATGTTGTTCTTGGCTTCGACTCCGTCAACGATTACATGGTTAATTAGTTAGTTAAAGCTAGAATATATTCAAAATCCAATCTTTAATTAGTTTCAATTTAATGATCTGTGAAATAAAGCATGGGTTTTTTCTTTTTGCAACAAAAATGCAGAATGACAAAGCTTCTTTTGGTGTCATACTTGGGCGGGTAGCTAACAGGATTGGAGGAGCAAAATTCAAGCTTAATGGCACTCTGTACAGATTGCCAGCAAATGATCATGGAAACACTCTCCATGGTCTGTATTTAATTTCCTTCTGTTTTTTTATCCTGCCAAAAACACTCTCCATGTCATGAGATTAACGTCATGTTTTAAAACTGAACTAAACTTGTAATGTTATGCTCTCTATTTAGGAAGCTCTTCACAATGTGATGAATGTGGAAAATGGTATTCAAGATGCTGTTGATTGGAGAAATGATGATTCAGCCAAAGTAAAAGGTCCAGAAAAAAGAGGGCACATTCGTTGCGTAGGATTTTCAATCATGTAGGATAAATGTGCTTTGTCCTCTCAACAACCACAAGTGCCTATATAAGACCTACAAGCAAATTCCTATTCAAGATCCACAAGTGTCTATTCTTCAAGCGCACGTTTCCACACTTTCAAGAAAGTTTGATATTCTGTTAGGTGCTTTCAAACGTAACTAGACTTCTGTCCAGTTAAGCACAACTTTCAACAACTTGAATAATGAGGTAATATTTACAATTAGTGAATTAGATTTATAAAATTAGACTGCAAATTGTGCTCGTTTTTTTGCTGAACTATGCTTGAATTTGACATCATGGTTATGTTTTATTTCTTCTTGTGCAATTGTGTGTGATATGTTAAGAGACTAATTTTCTGAGTGGCGTATTTCAACTTATTAATTTCTTGTGCATAAAATTTTATTTACTCTTTATAATTACCATGAAGCGTAGTTACATGTAACTCTATCCTTAATTGATTGGTCTAGCTGGATGCCTGGATCCATGACATTCGAAATGAGAGATTATATAAGGAAAACCAATCTCAGACATATTCTGCAAAGAATATAAGAGGAAATGCATAATGCCTCATCATTACACAACTAGTGAGTATTTGTTGATTTCTTAACTTCTCAAGAAGTTGGGAAAATCTGCATTTGTGGCTCTAATCAATTTCTAATATATTTTCTTTTATTTCTAGCTCTGTCCATTATTTTCTTAGGTTATTTACTTATAATATGCAGTTGTGAGTTTTTAATTATCTTAACCAAAAATCTCTAAACTAGTTATATAAGAAAATACTACTACAAATTTATGATCCTGTTTATTTGCACCAGAGGATTGTTTATTAATTTCTACCACTGATTAAATTTTTCAGGTCCTTGATGAATCATCTTCTACAAATGAGTCATCATCAATGGGAAGACATTGATCTTAAGAAGCTATTTGGAGATAGGGATATACTTGATTTTATGAGCAGTTGCAATTTGCATGACTCGAACTTTTAAGTTTTTTTGGACTTTATTTACTTTTATGATGTAAGTTTGAGTATGAAGGCACTGTCTAGTTTCTGGAAATAACTTTAATTCTTGATGTAAGTTTTTATAATTTTCCTTGTTTTGTAATATTTACATCAATGAAGCTTTTCAAGTATTTTTAAGTGAGATTCAAGTTTCTGGATGAAAGTAGTATTTAGTATCCCACATTTATTATTACTAATATAAGCATAATATAGAATAATTAATTAAAAATAAACATATTATGCCTTTTTACTTTTTCTTGACACTTATGTGTCATCCTTAATCTTTCATGACACACAAAATTTGTTTGGTGAAAATCAAATCCTGACACATTTATGTGTCAACAAAAGTGTAAAGAGATTTGCCAACACATGTATGTGTATGGGTGGACTCAGGCCGGTTTGGGCCTGGGCCCGGCCGGGTCTGGGGCCAGAAAACTAGGGCCCGGGCCCGAACCGCCGGTGGGCGGTTCCGGTTCCGGGCCAAACTGGGCCGGGCCGGGTCAACCGGTCTTTTTTTTTTTGGTTCTCCTTTTTAACCCCCTACCCCTCCCCCTCAACCCCAAACCACCCCAAACCACCCCAAATGGCCCAAACTACCTAATCCAACCCAAAACTTAAAAAATTTCAAAAAAAAAAAAAAATTGAAATCCGGCCCGGACCGGGCCCGAACCGGCCGAGCCGGTTCACCAAAATCAGGGCCTGAGCCCGGACCGCCATCCAACCGGGCCAGGTGGCCCGAACCGGTGCACCAACCGGTTGACCGGGCCGGTCCGGGCCCGCACAGTAGCGGGCCGGTTGGCCCGGCCCGAGTCCACCCCTATGTATGTGAGTGTCAAGAAAAGCTTTTCCTAACACGGTTCCTAGTGACACATTGTATGTGTGTTGGTAAAGTCCATAAGGGGTTTATCTTGACACTTTTTGTATTTTTCTTGACACTTAGTGTGTGTCAAGAAATGTCACTTTTCTTGTAGTGTCATTTGAGTTTCAATTTGGTTTCAGTTCGGTTTCGATTTGGTTTGGTTTACCAAAGTGAAAATTATTAGGTTCAATTTAGTTCGATTCAGTTTTTTATGTTTTCTATTTTATTTGATCAAGTTCTATATTTTAGAATTAGAAAACGAAAGTAGTAGTCCATCTCATCTTCTTGTATTTATGATTTAAATAAAATGTAAAAGGAAATAAAAGATAGAAAAAATAATAAATATATTACAATAGTATAAATTAACACCTAATTTGTCTTACTAACACTGCTGACATTAAAACTTCTAAAATCTTTTCGATCGCTAGAAAAATGATTCACTTCTCACAAAAAAAATATTAGTTGAATATTCACAAAATAAATAATATCTCATAAAATATTCAAAAAAAAAAAAAAAAAATGAGTCGGTGGCACAAAAGTTGTAATATTCACAATTTTCTTCAAATGAATCATGTAAAAACATATAAATTCAACTTGTTATTGTTATCGCCAAACATCTTTTCAAATAGGTAGAGTACAAAACATAACAAACACAAATATGTCGTAGTAGCTAACTTTGTCATAATGAATATTGATGGAGTATATGGTCCGGGGACCCCCGGCCCATAGACTCTTACTTCTCCTACACAGGCCCATCAAGCCCACTGAACACACAAGACCCAAACACAGCGGCCCAAGTGTTAAGAAGCCCACGGTGCACATATGAGTGTCTTCGGCTCTATGGTCGAAGGCCTTAGATTCCACAGGACAGCTAGATTCAAGCATACAACGCCACTGGGAGAAAAAGGCAGAAAATAGGAGCCTTCGGCTTCTAGACGTTGTCGGCCACATAGGGCCTTCGGCTACACAGAGCCTTCGGCTCCACTGAGTCTTCGACTACAGCACAATTAGCGAAAATTCAAAGCAACCACCGCATTCAATGCGACGTCACATCCAACCACCGCATTTAATGCGGTGCACATGCAAATGCCGGTGCCACCCCGATTGAGGTGACCCCTCAGCCGTCAGATTATTGACACGTGTACTCCCATCGCATTTATGGCTACTATAAATAGCACCCCTTTTTCCTCTTGTAAAGCACCAGAACATCTCGAGTTCATTTAATATATTTGACTCTCTCTCCTACTTGTTTGCTCTGACTTCTCTCTAGGTTATTCCTCGAATAACTCCTCGGATAAGCTACCCCCCGGGTAGACTGTCCATCAAATATATAAAATGTGTAAAAGTTAAAATCATATACGTTAAACATGTATTTTTCATATCTAAATTATTTATTTATATCCTAATGATTAAGAGCAAAGATTAATACAAATTATTAATCTTGGTTTACGGTTTTTCTATTTTGAACCAAACAAAACCAAATCACCAATTTTTTGGTTTGGTTTGGTTCGATTAAACCAAACCATTTTGCCCAGCCCTAGTTTTAGCCTTTTAGGCGAGACAAAGGAAGCGGCGAACGACCGGCGTAGGGACGGACGTCGCAGGAAGGCTAAACATGGTCTTCCATGAAGTGTCAGGTAGCGTGGTTGACGTCGGTGGCGATTCTCCACGGCGACAGGGTTCCGGTTGATCAGGAAGATAAAAGCAGGAGAAAGCGGCATGGAGATACTATGCCAATCATAAGGAAGGTGGAAGATCCAGGATCGGCAAAATTCAGGGCTTGTGGCGGTGACCTTTTACGAGCGGACCAGAATAAGGGATTGAGTGGAAGGTTTTTTTTGATGTGGCACGTAGAATACCATATTTAGGTGATGGAGGAAGAAGATGAAGTGTTGATGATCTTCTTCCCTCCTGAACAGCCGCCATGGAGGATGATGCTTGAAGTATGGATTCGGTTGCTCTATCTAATTATTTTATTTAATTCCATTTTACTCTTTTTGAGTTTTTTAATTATGAACTATGTTGTTATCCTTATTTCGAACACTAAGGGAGTAGGGTTGGTGTTCAGTTTATTTCATTAGATAAGTTTTTGTTGGGAGGGAAGCAGACTGACTCAGTCACTAATACCCTTTTTGTTCTCGTCGTTTCAGCGATCAGTCCCAGTCTATCTGGGGTGGATTATTCTATTTCTGATCATGATGTGAGGGGGTCGATGGACTTTTGGTATTGTTCAAAGAGAGGGAGATGGAGGTCTTGAGACATGTTTGTTGTTTTGGCTCGTTTGATTTTAATATATGCTATTCCCTTTAAAAAAGATTTCAATGATGATCAAGTACCTTGTGGTTTGATGACATCACTGTGACACTTTCAAGGAGGAGGTCACATGTTCGAAAACCATCTCAGTCAATAATGTTGGTACTTGACACAACACATATTGTGAAAAAAGAGAACGTACAAGAAAAAAAGAAGAAGAAAGAATTCAATTGTGACTATATTACTAAAATTGATATATGATTGCATTAAATACCAATTAACAATCGTAAAATTGAACTTAATTGAACTAAATTAGTTCGATTAAGTGTGAAGTGTAACAAGATTCAATAATCTTTGTAGCAATATATTTAAAAAATTACAAATAAGTTAATATCCACTAATCAGTGAGAGTACCATATCTACAATGCATAAGATTAATTCATATCATTATTTGTCATTTATTTATGTTAACCATTTCTAATCGATACATTTTGACAAAGTGATATCTTTAAGAGAGAATTTCCTAAATAGGAGTAAAAGCTTTTTGAAATTCCAAAATAGGAGTATCATGTTTTTTATTCCCTAAATAGGAGTAAATTTTTTCCAAGTTTGGGCATTACAAGGCTTTAAACATGACATTTTTTTCCAAACTTGGCAGATTACTCCTATGGTGGCACCAGTGAGGAGGCGGCGTATGGCGGCGCCGGTGGGGGTGCAACAGTAGACCTCTCTGACTAGGATGGTGGCAACATGGGGCGATTGCGGCAGCAGGGGCGATGGCGGCAACAAGGGGCGATGTTGGTAGCAGTCCGATTGCTAGAGTTAAAATTTTTAGAGTTTTAGCAATTTTATTTTACATATTTAATTATTGAAACAAAATTTCATTAAGGGCATATTTGTACAAGAAGGTGGTTTTAAGTGCTATGAAACGTAATTTCAAATGAAAGTCCTATTTGGACAATTATCTTCTATTTTAGTTCCATTTAAGGAATTAACTCTATGAACCTCTCCTGAAATTTAAATTCGGTGCATAAGTCCTATGTGATTTAAAAAATGCGTCAACACCCCCCCTCCCCTCGTGTTATGATTAATCATGCGCGAAACCCCCTCTAAGAACAAATTTTACAATTTTGAAAACACTTTTTTAATAATATGGATGAATATGCTAGTAATTTTGTCAAAATTTCTAAATTATACAAAAGAAACTAACCATTTTTCATTTTTTTGGAAATTAATTTGTTCTTGGAGGGGGTTTGGCGCATGATTAATTATAAGTTTAAAGCACCATGGGGTTTGACGCATTTTTTAAATCACAGGGGATTAATGTGCCAAATTTTTATTTGACGAGAGGGTTTGGTGCATTAAACCCGGTGACTCCCAACCTCAACTGAAACCCAAATACCCAATCCATCTTTTCGATAACTTCACATGGGACATTATAATTTTAACATAATTAATACTCATCACCAGTGCACCCAAATTTCATTAATAATTTGATTCAATCAAATTCACTCTTTGAAAATGACAATTTACTTGCTGGTGTGGCCTAGGAAATGAGATGTATAAATTTGGTATTATTATCAACTCACATTTTGTTAATATTTTATGTAAGTTTAATGCACCAAACCCCCTCGTGATATAGAAATTTAGCGCATTAGCCCCCTGTGATTTGAAAAATGCGTCAAACTCCCTTGTGTTTTAATTAATTATGCACAGAACACATTTTATGAATAAATTTAACGATTTGGAAATCACTTTTTCTAATATTTTGATTGAATATCAAGTAAATATGTCAAAATCTCTAATCATACAGAAATGTTAATCATTTTGCTTTTATTTGACAATTGACTTTGTTCATAGAAGGGATTTTGCGCATAATTAATTAAAACACAAGGGGGTTTAAAGCATTTTTTAAATCATAGGGGGTTAATGCACCGAATTTCCATATCACAGGGGAGTTTGGTAATCCTCCAATAAAGTCCATGCTGATATATGTCCATATACTGCTAGGAATAGGTAAAGGTTGTAGTAAACCAGTAGGTTTAAGGGCTTGGTACTTGTTGGTTTGGCATATAGCACACTCCTCCACATATTTTTTAATGTCACTCCTCATTCCTTGCCGGTAAAACAACCCTTCTATTCTCTTCATAGTTCTGAAGTATCCAGAATGTCCTCCCATAGCTGAATCATGGTATTCTTTCAATATTTTCAGAACTCTAGCAGACCCTTTTGGTACACCAATCTCTTCTTGTAGTATAACAGGCCTTTAATGATCTGAAATTCTTTGTTTCTGTCTAGATAAGAAATAACTTTCTGAATTATTTCTTGAGTTTTAGGGTCTGCACTCAGTTCCTCTTGGCAACTAACAACTGACAATGATTGGAAAGTATGCTTTCTGGATAAGGCATTGGCAGCCTTATTCTCCACACCAGGTCTATATCTTATGGTAAAATTATATCTTATGTCCAATTTTGCTTTTCTTCCCCCATGAGTCTTTGTTCAGTAAGAAACTTCAAGCTTTTCTGATCTGTGTGAACCTCAAAATGTCTGCCAAGTAAATAGGGCCTCCATTTTTGTATTGCTAAGACTACTGCCATCAACTCCCTTTCATACACTGACTTCATCTGATTCCTTGGTGACAATTCCTTGCTCATATAAGAAACTGGTCTCCCCTCTTGCATCAGGACTGCCCCCATACCTGTTCCTGATGCATCAGTCTCAACTACAAACAGTTTGTTGAAATCAGGTATTGCTAAAAGTAGTAAGGTTGTCATCATTTTTTTCAGTTCTTCAAAAGCTTGTCTTGCTTCTCCATTCCAGTAGAAATTATCCTTCTTCAATAGCTGTGTAAGAGGAAAAGCGATTTTGCTATATCCTTTTACAAACTTCCGGTAGTAACCTGTTAGCCCAAGAAATCCCCTCAACCCTTTTAGGTCTTTTGGTTCAAGCCAGTTCAGCATAGCTTCAATTTTTGTTAGATCAGCTGACACCCCTTGTCCCGAAATGATATGACCCAAATATACTAACTCAGATTTTCCAAAGGAACATTTCTTCAAGTTAATCTTCAATTGATTTTCCAAAGGAACATCTTTTTATGTTCTTCATATGACTTACTGTAAATCAGAATGTCATCAAAAAATACTAGGGTAAACCTTCTTAGGAAAGGTCTCAATACCTGATTCTTGAGTGCCTAAAAAGTAGAGGGAGCATTTGACAGTCCAAAAGGCATCACAAGACTCATAATGACCCTCATGTGTTCTAAATGCACTCTTCTTCCTATCCTCCTCCCTCATTCTTATTTGATGATAGCCAGATTTCAGATCTAGTTTTGAAAATATTCTGGCTCCACCCATTTATCCAATAACTCTTCAATAACAGGTATTGGGAATTTATTTGGAATAGTTATCTTGTTTAATGCCCTGTAATCCCCACAGAACCTTCAACCCCCATCATTCTTCTTAGCCAAAAGTATGGGACTGTTGTAGGGGCTGTTACTAAACTGAATTATTCCAAAATCCAACATATCCTGTATAATCTTCTCTATTTCAGTCTTTTGGTATTGTGGATATTTGTAAGGTCTAATATTAGGTATATTAGCACATTCTTGTATATTAATGGAGTGATCACAGATTCTGGAAGGTGGTAACCCTTGCAAGGGTTGTGTTATATCTGGGAATTCAGCTAAGATACTTTCCCAGGTTGTCTCCATGTCATTTTCCTTATCCTTTGGCCTTAAATTCCCTTCACAATATACAAGATATCCATCACCGTTATCTTGTAGAATCTGTGTTAATGTTTTCAAAGAGACTTCCATGGAATTTAAGGTAGGATCTCCTTGAATTGAATGATTGACCCCTAGATTTTTCCATCTAATAGTTTGTCTCTGAAAGTTTATGTTTACATGATAGATTTTTCCATGGGAGATTTTTCCATCTCCCAAACTGGTTAGCCATTCCATTCCCAACACTAAATCAATTCCTCCCAAGTTAAGGATATAAAAATCTTGTTTAATATCAATATTTGACAATCTCAGTACAATATCCTCACACCTTCCATCATTGGAAATCTGTTCCCCATTACCAATTTGCAACTTATAACCTGAGATAGTATTAAAACGTAGCTCCAGTTCATTTACCAATTTCTGAGAGATGAAATTGTGAGTAGCTCCACTATCAATCAACACTTCCACTATTTTCTCTCCTCTATTCCACTTCAAGGTGCCCTGAATCTTGAAAGCTCTCATTGTAGGGATCCCTTCCTTGCTCATGAGTGACAATTGCATAGATTTTGATTCCATTTTTACCTCCTCTTCAGTGATTTCAGGATCTGAATCTTCTGTTTCTTCTTCAGTATCTGAGTCTTCCACCAGCATTAGTTTATAATGTTTCAACATACAGGTATGTTCTCGATTCCATTTCTCTCCACATTTAAAACAGAGTCCTTTTTTGCTTCTCTCCTGGAATTCTTCTTGAGATAATTGGGGCCCAACCTTCCTAATCCCTGAAGTTTGTATATCTGTTACCTTCTTCCCCATATTGTCAACCCATGAGTTAAAATTTCTGTTATCAGCTGTTCCCTTACTTTGACTGTGGAATCCAGAACTACCATATCTGGCTTTAGAATTGTCTCCCCAATTGTTAGTTCTGGTATTTATTGGTCTCTTATCCTTTCCCCCACTTGAATCATCCTCTTGTCTCTTCAAATGTGCAGCTTCATTTTTTCTCTCTATCAACAATGCTACATCCATAACCTCAGCTAGAGTTCTGGGGTTATATAGTTTCAATTCAGCCATCACTTCATTCTTCAATCCTGTGATAAAGATTCCTCTCAATATTTCCCTGTCCACAGTCCTTTGAGGTGCTATAGTCAATTCAAATTCATCCCTATAATCACTCACAGTACCAGTTTGTCTGGAATCTGCGTATCACAGACTCCTTCAAAGTTTCCCAGTTCTCCTCCTTCGTTTGGTGTTCCCACCATTGAAACCAGTTTAGAGGTCTTTCTTCCATAACCAATACTGACACCTCAAGTTTATCCCCCTCAGCATACGAATTAACCTGTTATAGGCCCTGTTTCCATTAAATAATGGTAAATCCACCTTACGAGCAGTCTGAATATGAAAACGATGGTGATTATCACCATGTCTATTCTCACGATGAGTAGTATGTACTGAATTACCTCTCGAAGTAATCGAGTTGTGCGAATGTTGTGATCGACTGCGATGTTGAGATCGCGATCTCCCTTGCTCGCGGAATTCCTCCCTCGATCCTGCCAATCCTCCTGTCATCGCAACCATCATCGCATCAATCCTCGCCTCCATTTGCAGAATACTTTCCTCCATCGTAATTCAACTATGTTCAACCGATTCCAAACGTTGTTCCATTTTCGCTCACGTTCAAATCATCCACAGCTGAGAACGACAGAATTCAAGTGCAGTAGCGATAACTTCAGGTCACCAGAAACGATTTGCTCTGATACCAATGATAGAACACTGGTATGAATCAGAATGAAATATCAACAATATAAGGAAATTCTACTGATAGAACAGATAGAATGAGAAATTCATTGAAATCGGATCAAGGCTTGGGACAATTAGACAAGCCCACTCTCCAAGCAACCAACCACTGAAATAACAACCTAACTTAATAAGCCAACACCCTTCTATTCATAGTTAATCTTCCACGCAGAGAAAGTACACTAGTTTATTAGACTGACTTAATAACTAGCAAAGTACAACTACCCCCCTTATTCCTCCTTTGGTACACTTTATTGAAGTATTTAATAGGCTGATCCCTCGCAATCGTATCATTGTACATGTAGAACAGTAGAAGTGGTCTTCAATTAGACATAAACCAAAATGACAAGAAAAAATGGAACTCAAAACTAATTAGATAGTAGTAATTAATTTCTCATCCACTTGGGTGGCTCATCAAGATATTTTACTGAAGAAGTCTCCTCCTTGCCTTAGCTGCCTGCAAATCCAAAACCAACCCGCCAAAATATTATATGAAGCGACAGCGCATTACAACACTAAAAACCCCAGAATAAATTGAGCAATACTAAATAGACATTTTTTTGGTACATTATATACATTCTTATGTGGCATGAATGTATTAAATATTGAAAAGTTAGAGAACTTTATAACATCCAAATGATGCAAGTCACATAGGAATGTATAGAAAGGATGCACCACAAAAATGTGCCCCAATCTCTACTATCCCACAACCTCATTTTCATGGTTGATGCTAATTAAGGTTGCCACTAGGTACCTGTGTGTTCCAATTTGTGCAACTTGTTATTATGGATAGCATAACCGTCTGCATAACAGAACCACACATAATTCCAACCCAAAGACCCTTTCCTCTCACGTGAAACCAGAAAGCCAGTGATGCAGCAATTGGAATTCCACATAGATAGAATGAAGCCAGGTTGACTAACGCTCCTATATGCTGCAACCCACACCCTCGAGCAACACCTATTATATATAGCTCCCACGATCATTGGCATATAGAGAGAGAGAGAGTTTGGATCAAATATAAAAAAGGTATTAATGGGTAAAACAAGAATTAATCGCAGCTATCCAAAGAGTCAATTTGATGCACAATAAACTTTACCTGATGCACTTTTCCAATATTTACGAAAATACCACTACGTATAGATGTTGGAAAAGTGGATCAGATAAGGTTATTCGGAAAGTGCATCAGATAAGGTTTATTCGAGAAGTGCATTAGATAAGGGTTATTGTGCATCAAATAACAATTTGGACATCTGAGATTAATTCTTATTTTACACGTTAATTCTTATATATATAGGGGAGCGTTCAACTAAAAAGGAGGCTTAATGTGTGTGTGTGTGTGTGTCAATATATCATAATTTGTATTTATTCCTGTCTAGGGGGTGATATGTAAGTAATGTGAAACGAGCCATGAGCGGTATACAAAAATATTCATCCTTACGACTACACAACCGAAACTGGTTAGTGATCAAAAGTTAGGGTCTGGTTGGCATAGTTGTGACTTTTAAGCCACTGTTTTTTTGCTTTATCTCAAAACTCTCTTTGGTAATTCTTTCTTTGGGTGGTGTGACTGGAAACACACAACTATAAAAGACCTTTAGGATTTGTTTGGATGGAAGGTTTGGATAATAATATTTTAATCTTCCAATTTAATAATAATAATGTGGAGTATTAATTTATTATTATTTGGAGGGGATAGGGTCTTACAATTTTATAATATCTTAAATATATATATATATATATATATGTGCATATATGCAACGATAATATCGTATTTATGGATCTAATGGTTCATTGAATTTATGAATATATTATTCCATATTTCAATATCAATATCGAACAATTTCTGGAGGGAAAAACAATGTTTTGTAAGTCTTTTTTGTTTTTTTTTGGGGGGGGGAAGAGAATGAGATCACTAATATTTTTCGTTATTTTTCCATAGCTATTGAAATGTTTTTATTTTTCAATATTTGTTTATAATTTTCAACTTTTCTTCAAAATCCCAAAATAGCTCTGTTACCCCTGGTATCAATATAGGTGACCTAAAATATGAAATTTTGATGTAAATATCAGGATATTTCCATCCTTGCGTATTGTTTCGATATATATAGACTAATCCCTACAAAACACTCAAATATACTTCGTAAATCACAGATTCACAAATTTAGAAATTACTGAACAGTTTTTTTCACATCAGAGCTAAACTGATTCAAGTGGAGTTTGTACCTGAAAGGGTCCCTTGAAGGCTATCACTTATGACCGATAGACAGAGGAGAGGGGCAATATCTGCAACATAGTACACCACTTCCTTCTCATTGCTAAAAACATAGCCAAATACGTTCCGACAAGCAAAGAGGGTTGCGCTTACTATAACACCCTCTGACACAGAAATGAGCATCACACACAAGACAGCCAAACGAGCCCCCTGTGGGTTTCCCGCTCCCAACTCATTAGATACTCTAGTGCTGCAAACAAAAATAACAGTTGTAATTTTGCAGGAATGTTTTGGTAGATGACAACGGTTTTAGTTTTGTTTTTAGGGCCTGTTTGGTGAGGTCCATTCAACTTAAATGACTGACTACTGCTGAATTTTCACAATGTTTGGTAATATCCATTTAACAAAATAAGGGGAAAGTTCCGTGATAAGCATAATAAGCCGATTACGGCTACCAAACAGAGCCTTGGGGGTTTGATTGAAGCTTAGTGATACCTTACAGCACCGGAAAGCCCATATGGAATTGCAAAAATTGTGCCGACAGTGTTCAGGCTGGCAAATAACATCAGAGTTAGTTATATTAATGCCTTTAGTAAATAAATTAGGAAAAATTGAAAATAATAATCCCAACTATTTCCGGTCCGCTGAAAATAATCCCAACTATTGATTATTTTTGTATAATCCCAACTATATAGACTATCCGCCAATAATGGTCCATGACCATAAATTACCTCTATAAAAAGTGAATTTTAAATAGAAATTAAGCGTAAAAATTAAAAGTTGAGATTATTTATAAGGATTACTTGTTATATCTCACCCCATCCACTTTAGAAACTACAAGAATTTATTCATCGGGACCATTATTGGCGGAAGGTCCCTAAAGTTGGGATTATTCTGTAATAATCAATAGTTGGGATTATTATGAGCGGACCGCCAATAGTTGGGATTATTACTATCAATTTTTCCAATAAATTAACAGTTTTCATTAATATTCTGTGAAGCTGAACATACCATACAGATAAAACTGAAGTTTCTAGTTGTGGATTTGGCAGTAGACCAGACAGCAGCACAAGTAGCTCATATGACCACCACTCAAGACTGTCAGAGAGACAGACATAAGTCAACAATAGTCTCTAAAGTTCACTGTTTTAATACCATCCTGGCAATAAAGCACAAAGCTACAAAAGACCTGGTCAAAGATAACCACTTATTATTTCTCAAATAATTGACCAAAACACATTTCAAGTTCTGAATTTGACAATAAACGCAACATTAAACCAAAAGTTTGAAAAGGCTTTATATTATACAGGCTGAGTGTGATAGGTTCAAAAGGTGCATGGTTCAATCAAATTAAATATAAGAGAGGGGCTTAAAAGAATAGTTTAGAAATTAAACCGTCCAATGTAAAAGCATGGAAAAGTATACATATTTAATAAAGCAAAATAAAATGCCATGGAGGCATGGACTCAATAGAATAACTTTTAAAAACGAGAGGCCATAGATTGGAATCTGAATGACTACAATGAAAAGGTTGACTAGAAATTTCTCAAAAATAAATTACTCTCAATAGTACTTTTCAGCATACATAGCATTATGCATGGGGCGATAAGGGTATGTGATGGCATTGTATTACGCTTAATATAACTGCAGGGAGTGAGGGGGAGGTGGACAGCTAACCAAATCATGATGGCTGACGGAACGGCATATCTGAAAAACTCCTTCACTCCATGAAAGATTTCCCAGGTAATAGTCGAACGAGTTTTGTCACAAGCAGGAGAGAACCTCATGTATAAAGATAGGAGTATCACATTCACCCACATAGACACACCAATAGCGACAGCAGCCCCAAGATTACTCAAGCCGGACTTAAACACCATCACCCAACATAGAGCCACATGGAAGCACATTGTTATGAATGAGCTCACGAGCATGGGAAAGATCAAACTTTGCACCTGAAAAAATCTTACGAGAGGCTGTAAGGTCGAATAAGCGAATAAGGCCGGAATGAGCCACTTTAAGAACCTTCCGGCTTCTTCTGCTATAAGAGGATCTTGGCCTATGAAGACTAACACTTTTCCCATATGGGTCCACAAGAGTGCGAGGGGGATGCATACGATAAAAAGGCAGAAAATGGCAGTGTACGTTTGTTTTCCAAGTTTGTGGTACTGTTTGGCTCCGTAGGCCTGCCCACTAAGTGTTTCCAGAGCACTTGCCATTCCTAACTGTTTAGATAGAAAAAATATTAATCACAAGATACACAGGATACTTATAGTTAGTAATACAGAGCTTTTATATTTCAGAATATTAGAGTATTTCAGAATCGGAGGAGTTATAATATCTATTCACTTCTGTTTTTCAATATTATAATGTTACTAACTAATTGAATCTTATTTGTTGCTAGTTCAACCGAAGGTCTTATTAACCCCATCGTTCTCTCTTTATTTTTCTGGTGTGAGATTCTAAGACAATTTTATGGCAATTGAGATCGGATCATGTTCGGAGCTCTTTGTCTACACACTATTTACATTCCTCAAAATCTCTAGCACAGTGGCACTACCGCTTTGCTTATTCACTTCTTATTCAAAATTACAGGTTATATGTGTCTGTCTCTGTCTGGTAAGCATGTGTTTCTAACAGAATGTACTGAAAATTGTTCTCTCAAAAGACACTTTAGTCTTTTCTATCAGCTAACAAAAAGGAAAATCCAAAATCTTTGTCCTAGGAACAACTGAGTTTTCCATGCCACATTTATCATGAAAATGAAAAAGAATAACCAGCTATGAGCTATAAAACTTTTGGTACGGTTGTATTGCATATATGCTATCTTAAAAGGATTTCACTTTTTTCCGAACTAAATTGCAATCACACAATTTTAGTTTCGTAATCCCGTGCCAAAAACAAGCAGGAAGATTAATTTGCGACGAAGGAATCGTAGTTTAGATGTAAGTAGAGATTTTTTTTAAAGTCGTACTTTATGTTATACGGAGTACTATCTTATCTTACATTATGAAACTGGTTGTATTTAATTAGTAATTTTCTGATCTGATTGTATTATGTTTCCTAGTCTTACTATGAAGTATTCTTATTTGTGAAGCTGTGGAGTCTTCTGTAATCTGTATACATACACCTCTCAAGTCATTCCAATTCACTTGAATACTCCGTATGGTGTTTTTCAATCTCTATAGATAAACTCTGTTTGTTTATAGGAAAGTAGTTTCCTAGAAACTGTCTCTATACGTGCCAATACTAATCAATAGGAACTTTTGTTGAAAATAACATCTCATTTTAAGAACGGAAGCCGTTTTCATGAAACAGCTTCGCCTTTGGTATTTTTGTGTGGAATAAACATTATATGTATCCATAGAGTCATAGAGAACATCTTAATCTTCAGAAAAAAACATTTTCAATGTAAAATATATTACAGGGAGTGCAAAGAAATACATTTTCTACATCAACTCAAATTGGGTGCAAACTCAAATTATAAGAATTTAATGAAAAAGAATGTGTACTCACAAGAAAACTGAAGCCAGTGACATTAGCAAGAGAGACAGCTATGGAGGTGCTGGAGAGAAAAATCTCACCCAAATGCCCAACGATCATAACAGAAATGATGGGTAATAGATACTGAGATAAAGTCACGGCCACCATTGGACCTGCCAGGTACCCTAACCTTTTCACTTCCGCCCAAACAGACCCCAACCGTATCCCACCACCCTCTTCGCTCTCCTTCAGCAACAGCAACCCGTCCTCCATTCTGGGTTTCTTACGATTACTGTGTCTTAAAATTTCTTTGTAGATTTCTACTCCGTGAGACTGAGGAATATAAAAAAATACGGACTCAAATACATTGAACAATGGACAATGGAGGAGATTCAGAGTGTTTTTCAGACTTCCTAATTTCTTGTCTAAACTGGATCATAATCCGTATCTTATATCCTGACCGCCAAAGTTTGAGCAAAATAATTGTAGACTAGTAGGTGGCATACTTTTTACTGAGCTAATTAATTTTTGAAATGTAATTAATGAGAAAGGTTTGACATTTGATACATTTTGATGGCAAGTGGGTATTAAAAATTAGTACTCCGTAGTAGTCAGTGGAGGACCTAGAGGGCCTAGCTAGGGGGCAAGTGTTAGAAATACTATTAGGAGTGGCTCCTATTAGGTCGGCTTGACAAACCCAACGTGCGGTCAAGCCCGTCTGAGAATCTTCCCGGCAAAAATTTTCTGATAAATTTTTTTGAATATCTTCTTCATCAAGTTCAATTTACTTATGTCAAATTTCAGCTAAAAATTCAATCAATATGATTGTTAAATAAATTTTTGAAAAAATACTACTCTGTTTATATATATTAACTGCACAGTGTTCTTAAATAATTTATTTGACTTACTTCCCAGTTGAGTTTTAAGTTGAGATTTGATATTGATAAACTAGACTTGATGAGGAACATGCTCAAAGCATTTTATCAAAAAAGAAATCCACCTGAAAAACCCTCAAACGGGTTCGGCCGGGCGACTACCCCGGTCTGGCCGGCATGACATGAAGTTTCATCTTAGTATTAGTATTAATACTAGTATTAGATGAGATAATAATCCTGTCAAAGAGCACATGGAAATTGTTATAAGACATTTAAACAATTATGAAATTATGATGTGAGTGTTTGCTTGTGATTAGACATGTTGTTGATACAAGCATTATTTGAAAAGTGGCATTGATGGTATTTTTACGAAGTATGAATTGCCTTTGTTCACAATTAAAGGTCAATGATCTGATAAGACTTCTAATATACATGGTGAACTCGATGATTTGAAGATTCTAATCTCTAGTGAAAAATGAAAGTACATACACAAGATATATTCATTCTTTTCACACCATTTCAACGATTTATTGTGGATGTTGCATAAAAAGAAGTTTGTGGATAACTTTTTTAAATATTTGTCCATGACTACTAAAATGGTGAAATCGTACACTACTAGAAAAAGGATCTTTAACGATGAAAAATATGGGCGTTATAAGCTTAAAAGTTTGTCGTTAAAAGATTTAACGACCACTTTTTTTCGTCGTCAAGTGGTTGTTATAGGCTCCGTCGTTATTAGTTTTTACGACAAAGTTCGTCGTTACGTAGTATTAATTAATGACGACACAAAAATGTTATCGTTATATAACAACAACGATATATTCCCCGTCGTTACATTATAACGACGAAATAAATTTTCGTTGTCATATAAACACGACCATACATTTAGGCATTTAGCCGTCGTTAATGACTTGATGTTAGTACAATTTATTGACATCACTACGTATCCAATATTCCAATAGCAACAATTTAATGCTTTTATAATGACAATGTACGTACCAGTACCACTTAACACTATTTTGTCACTGATAATAATTAATAACTACATAAGTTAAGTACTTGTACATTCAACAACATATATCAAACTTCTAATCTTCAAATAAATTCAACAATCACGTAGTTAACAACGTTTCACATATACTTCACATAAATAAAATAATCATCCACATAAATACAATAAAATCCCCATGAACTATACGGAAAAACATAGAATTCAGATTTGCTAAGTAGCATCCAATGTTTATGGGGAAAAACATAAAATGCCTATCAATAGAATAAAATCATCTAATCTATCATAAACTATACAGATCCACATTTCATAGCACTTCCGCAACTTCTCATCTTTAGATACCTACAAAAAAAACATGACTTGGATTGTCTAATAAAATGATAAATAGTTAAAAAGAAATAAAATGATTCTTAACAGTTGTCTTTACTAAAACCAGTAAGTCGCAACCAGATCTAAAAACTTATGAGCAAGACATTAATAATGGTAATTTGAGACTTCATACCTTGTGATCCACTCTTAGAAGGAATGAAAACATTAAGCTGTGCACTGTTTAAGTGCACCAAAATCTCTCTCTCAGATGTTTCCACCAACATATCTCGAAAGATGAGCATTTGAGACTTCACAGGATCCTTAAATCTTGTGAAATAAAAATTATATTGGGCAGAAAAAGAGAAATGGAAAGTGTAACCTCAACATTAGAAAGAGAGTGATCTTTTTCCATTGTCTCATGAATTAAAGCTTTTAAAGATGATGATAGTAGCTGAAGTTGCGAGGGATCTTTTTCATCATCAAGTGAGGGATCTTTTTCCATTGTTAAAAGCATTTATTGGTCTAAATGCACCCCTAAAAATGTTGTTCCTGCAGTTAGGTTCAACAAAAGATGAAGATATTAGCTGAAGTGCATACATACAAAAACTAAAAAAAACATTGTTTCTTTGCATGAAGTGCAAAGAAACAGTATATATGCTTTGTTAGGTGTTTATCTATCTGCTCATCAGACTTGTCAAGAAGTAAATGAATTAAATCAATTCTGAAAGAGACAAATGCAAGAAAATGAGACTTCAGTGCTGAGTACAAAAACAACACACTTCTACTCTTAAGCTTGCACTAGACGCCAATATTAATGCATTGCCACCAAAACTCCAAAAAGATACATACATCATTAGTAGATCCATATGACGCATATTCTCATTTGAAATACTATGTATGCTTTAACATATTAAAAAATGAAAGTAAAACTTGTTAGGTATGCATTACTTGGAAAAGAAAACCTTTCTTGACATCATCAAACTCCCAAATATTTGGGGCTAGGGATTTGGTTGAAATTGCTTAAACAATTTCTTTGGCTGCTCGATCTGATGTCAAGGCATGCATCATAAGCAAGAGCATATGTACATTATTGTCCACTACTTTAAGCCAAAGAATTAGGCAATTCCTAGCTACAAAGAAAGCAAAAACAACTTAAGTAAGTTGCATCCAGAATTCAGAAATCAATAGCATTGAAATGTTATGTTTAATGCAATTAGTTATTGAGTAATGATATTAATTAGATTAACCTAACCATTTCAATGTTTGAGCTCTTTTGTTTTAAAATACTCAAGCTAAAAGTATAAATAGCAGATTCAGTTAATACAAAAGAAATGATATTTAGACCTTTTTTAGAAACTCCATTTTAATTTTAAGTTTTGAACTTCCAATTTAATATATATTTGAACCCAAATCCACTGGACTCTCCACCCTTTTTGCCAGTAAAATCTTGAATCCCAACACAATTGCATTGCAATAAATAACTGAATAAGAGCAGGAGGTTATAAATGCAAAAGCGATAGGCAAACGACGATTTCTTAAGGTGATTTTGTAGTAGTGAATGTAAAAATATATACCTTAATACTAAAAGTAATACAACTGAAAGACAAAACTGACAATATGATGTATGTACTAAGATGTGTGAAATAAGTACATTTTATCACCATATAAAACTGATACATGTGAGAGTAATGTAAACTTCTAACCTCAATACTGATTCCGAATGATACATTGCATCCACAAGCTAAGAGAGGAGTGATAGAAATTGGGATCTTTTTCATCAATAATACCTACACCCCCATTCTTTGCCGATAGACATGGCTTCTATTGCTGCGGCACCCCAAACCTCTAGCTCCCTTTTCACTTCCATCATCGATACTAGAACTATCTCACAGCCGGTGAAGCGCTGTTTCAGCTCTCCATTTAAGAATTTGAGCGTAACTTGGTTTGGAACTTCCTTTGCATCTGGTCGCGCTCTTTTCTTCAAGACCTCTTATCAAACTAAACCTGCCAATAGCAGAGCATTATTACAGTAAGGTGCGAGCAGAATCCCAATGAAGGCAATGGTTTGGACATTTGGCGTGAATGATTTGTAACGATTAGCGCATGAGAGTTCACATTTTACAACTATTGCTCCTATTCTTTGTATGTGATCTTCTATAATGTAAGTTTATATATGACAACATATTTGACGATAGTACTTATTTAAAATCAAAGAGCATTGTAATCGATGAATGCCGGTATTTTAACTCGTGTCGTGCACGGGGTAAAAGATGTTATGTAGTATTGTTTTTAGTTTTATTCTTAAACGTAGAGAAAAATATTTGAAGATGCTAGTGTCGTTTCATATTATCTAAAGAGAATGGACAACTGAATAAATATATTGATATCAAAATTTGATCTCTAATTGGTTCATTGATACATAAAACTCAATTCAGTTTCATCCAAATGAAATCACTTTTTTCTAAAGGGGATAAGAGTACTTTTCCTCCAACTCGTTGACATCTTGTTGTTTCTCCAAATCATGTTGAATAAACTTGTTAACCACTCGACGCCTCTTTCCCCCAAACTTCACCATTTTGAAGAAACATCGTGGCACACCACATTTATTGTGGACATACTTTACGTGTCATCACGGTTGCATATAAGACTTGTGACATAGAAACATATAGTTGACATAATGAAGTGATACGGTTATTAAGAAAAGTGAGTTTATGTGGTTGTTATTGAATTGATAAAGCAAGAATAAAGTTAGAATAATTTAGAATCACACAAATGTTCCTAAATTTGATATGAGACAATCATAATGAGACGGGCCGAAAAGGAAAGATGAGACAAATCTGGTGGGACATATGGAGTAACAAAGTTCATTAAGAATAATCCGACTTAAGAAAGGAACTACCTCTGACTTTTATTGTTTGTCACTGCTAGGGGTGGGTGTGGTCCGGAACGGTCCGGTAAATTAGCAAAATGTGTAATGTATCCGTGAGGTTTCTAACGATTCGGTACGGTCTGGTTCTAAGGATCAGGGGCGGCTATATGGGGAGTTACCCAAGGCAAATGCCTTGGGCCTCATATTTTAGTGGGGCCTCAAAAAAATTATTAATAGTATAAAATGTCTATTTTCATTTTAATGGTTTGGAAGCAAATATATCTACTGGTAGTGCAAAGATAGATAAAGTGATTTTAGCTCTAATTAATTGGCAGGCTCATAGCCACTAGCTAGCCACCATATAAATTGAAGTAATGTTTAATTAGTTGGATCACTTGGATGGACACAATTATTTAGTTATTTTTATTTTCACTGATTATTGTTGTATTTGTGATTTGTTAACTGCTTTATGTTTTATTTTTTGTAAATATGTTACTGAGGCAAACAAAAATCAAGAACTGTAGGGATTTAAAATTTAGAAGTACTACTAAGATTCTATCATATCAACTTTAGTAAAGTTTGTGTGACTTTAAATCAATTTGACTTTATTCTTACTTTATCAATTCAATATCAACCACATACAACATTTTTATTGGTTTGCGTGTTACTCCCTCTTGTCCCATTGTTAGTGGGACGGAGGGAGTAGTTTAAGAAATAATTTGGGAAAGTATATAATATATATAATGGAGTAATGGATTAGAAGTGTGTTGTTATGATAGTATTAATTTTAATATGTGATGGTTATATTCTTAGCCGACCCCAAAATCTTTTGGAAATAAGGCTTGTATGTTGTTGTTGTTGATGGCTATATTGTCATAAAAGAGTTAACTATATTCTAAAATTAAAATGAGAATGAGAAATTTTTAAAAGGACGTCCAAAAGAGACAAATGATAATGTTTACCCGGGGCAGAGGAAGTGTAAGTTTTGGTCCATTTTGCGTATGTTTACATTTAAAATTTTTATTATTTTGATGTTCACTACTTTTTGAATATGCATTTTTTTCACATTTTGTATTTATATTCAATTAATCTTTTTTTTTTGTCTTTTGTGCTATAAAAATCACATTAATATGATATGTCAATATTAAGTGTTTTTCGTCTGGGGCCTCCAGAGTTCTGAAGACGCCTCTGCTAAGGATAGAACCATTCGGTATCATGTCGTTTTGGAACGGTACAAAACGGTTCGGTACAATGCTAAACACATGCTTAAACATTTGAACAAATTTTGCAATTAGTAGATATCATCACGTGAGCCAATTGACGTTAAATTTTGATAAAAATACTAGAAAGTGCATACTAAATACTAGAAAAGATTCAAGAGGTTGACATTTTTGTATTTAAATACAAAAACACTCAAACAGTGAAAGAAATTTTGTAAAAAATATTGCAAAATGACAATATACTATCGTATAATATCATCTTTATGAAATTCACTAGAACATATAAAAAGAATATCGTTAAATTATATATTGAACAGAATACAAACATTTAATGTTCTTCTTCTTTGTTCTAAGCTGAATATTAATTCTAATATAGTTCATAGTTGAACCATAAGAGTTGTGATTCAAACCATATTAATTAAGTTATAAAACTACACAAATATGATACTTCCTCCGTCCCGCTATGATTGTCTGATTTCACCATTGCAGTCCGTCCCACTAATATTGTCTCATACCTTATTTGGTAAAGTTATACGGTTCTAAATCATTCTTACTTTATTCTTACTTTATCAATTCAATATCAACCACATAAACCAACTTTTATTAATAACTGTGCCACCTTTTCTTGTCCCAAACTTAGGGGGACGGAGGTAGTACAACAAAAGTCATATACACTACATTACTAGAAATTAATAGTCATGAATGTTTTTTAAAACTTTGACATTCTTTCATTATATACCAAATACAACATAAATTAATTATCTAAAAGGAAAAAATAATACTCCGTAATATTTATATAACACACACCTATGATACATACTTGGGCTATAAAGTTGTTGGTCTATAAAAGATATTTATGTGTATAGAAAAATATAAAAAAAATTCAAAGAAATTATTTTTGAACGGTTCGGTCTGGTATTTTTTGGTTCTCGAAATCTAGGACAGGTCCCGTACCCGTTTGAAACGGTACGGTTTCGGTTCGGGATAAAATTATATAGAACCATTTATGTACCCGATATTCGGTTCGGTACCATTACGGGCCAGTTCGGTACTGGTTCGGTGCGGTTTTTATGCCCACCCCTAGTCACTGCATATGAAACAACATTTGGGATTCGTCCTTATTGAATATTAAAATTAATATTTTATGCTATATATATAATAAAGATGTACCAAAAAATGATTTTTTAGATACACGATTTCATATAAAAATGAGATATCTAAATAAGAATAAAATATTAAAATTAATATTATCCTATTTATAAAATTAAAGTTTTACATGAAATATTATACCATTTTTAGTTACATACCCTACTCCAACATTTCCACAAAAGATGAATATTTTTACTAAATATTTATTTTTCACATAATACATTAACTTATATTTTTTTGTTTTCTCAACATATACTTCTCTCCTTTGCAAAAAAATACAAAAAAACAAAACAAAAAAATTATTCCTCTCCGTTTAAATACGGAGTATGTAAACATATAATGGAGTCAATTATCTCTAAAAAGATTTGCAGTACTTTTGGCCCGGCCCATACACATTTCTGTCCATAACCCGGATGAAGTCACTTTACTTAGGGCAGTTAGGGGTGGGCAAACGTGTGCTAGAACCGCGGGTCGGGCCAGATAATACAAGTTCGGGGCGGGGCCTGAACAACTAAGGAACCGGACGAGTCTTAAAATTTGAAAAAATGGATACTCGGACCAAACCATTTTAAAATATATTTTAATAATATCTGTCATATACGTAGTATAATACTAGTATAATATGCTACGTAATATACTAACACACAAAAATTCTTCATGTACATGTTCTCGTGTCCAGACAAAGACTTCCAATAAAAGAAACTTTCCGGTCTATTAAAATTAGTTTTCAAGTCCGTATAATTAAACTCCTAAATTATTATCCTCTATTCTTTATTCCAAATGTATCAAGCTCTCTTTCTTTAAACATTTTTTTAAACAAAGACCCACTCAATGAAGTGTGACATATTCATTTAATTATCTTAATTTTACTTATACTTGGAGATTTAATAAGTTTTAAATTGTTTTCATAGACAAATATGTATAATAACTAGTTTAATTTCCTATGAATTTATGGTCCTATCTTTTTAAATGATTTATGAATGATGATTCATTTGGGAGAACTACCAAATAAGCCCTCGAACTTATATAAAAAGTTCAAATCACCCCTTTTATAGAAGGCTCTATCTGACCGTCATCATTTGGGGTGGTTTCCGGTAGAATTTTTAATGAATTTTTTTGAGCATCTTCTTCATTAAGTCTAGTCTATCCATACGAAATTTCAGCTAAAAGTTCAACTAGGAAGGCAGTCAAACGATTTTCTGAAATATATTGCGTTGTTTAATTGCACAGTTATCTTAAAAAATTCATTTGACTGCCTCCTCGATTGAAATTTTAGCTGAAATTTGGTATGAGTCAACTAGACTTAATGAATAAGATGCTAAAAAAGTTTCATAAAAAAAATCCATCAGGAACCGCCCCAAATAACGATGGCCGGACCGAGTATCCTTTAAAAGGGGTGATTTGCACTTCTTATGTAAGTTTGAGCACTTGTTAATTATGGTGGTTGTGTGTTGTTTAACTTATAAGTTTGTGGTTTGATATTTTCTTAACCATCTGCCTAACCATCTGCCGAAGTGCAAGCCCCAAGTTTGGAAAACTGGAACCCGCATTTCCAAAACCCGCAAAAGTCAAAACGCCCAATTGCAAAGACCGCAAATCCCAAGTCGCCGACCGGCGACCGCGACTCCGCAGGCCACCGCCCACTGTCAGAACGCCTCGCCGGATCGCCGCCCGCCACTAAGTCGCCGACCTGTGAGTTTTAGTTCTTTAGAGTCTTTCAGTCTCTTCCTAACTTCTCCGAGTTCTCTGCCAAATAGTGAAATACTACGTATATATACTCCAAAGTCTAAAGCCTAAAGCTGTAAAGTAGACTGCAGACAAGCAATTAAGGAAATTCTTATTTTTACTGCTGGTCAATTCCTAAATTACTATTTAAAAATTATAGGGTTAAATTTCTATATTGTTGTCGGTGACTTATTGTACTGAGCATGTATTAGATATTAATTGATATTTGATAAATACATGTAATAATTAATTTGATAGTTTTGGTACTAGCAAAGTAATTATTCTGTTTGATTGTCACTGTATTTTGTTAATTGATTTGTTTATAATTTTTGTATTTTCTATAAATATGTAAGTATTGTCATTATGAGAAAGCAAAATTTTGACTCCATATAAACAAAAAGAAGGAATAAGTTGAAGAGAAATTTGGTTATACAATCGCTTGTTGCCTCTATCGTTTGAAAAAACTGTTAGCTAATCTTAATTGTAGTGATGTTATTAATGATTTTACACTTTAAAAGGTAAGAAGAATAGGCTAAACTGGCTAATAGGGTGTTACAAGTATAAGTTTGTGGTGTATTTTATATATGTTTGCATTTAAAAAACTTATCTTTTTGAGGTTTAAAAACATTTTTTTTTTGAAAAGAAGGTTTAAAAACATTATATCATGCATTTTGAATATGTTTTTTCATATGGTGTTTTTATCCAATTTATCCTATTTTCAATATGATTTGCGCATATTAAGCATTATTTTGTCTAGGGCCTCCGAAATGGTAAAGACGCCCCTGATTTTTACTATATTATGGTCACATTAATATGTGATTTTTTTGAGAAGTTTATAATTTATTAGAAGCTTTGTTTGCATCGTCATATTTTTTTACAAATAAATTAAAGAACCGGGGACTCAGACCGAATCGGCCCGTATCAAATGGGGCGCTGGAACGGGTAAGGTTCGGTTACTATTTTGAAAATTGGTATATCCTGAGCGAACCTAAATGGAACCTGCTGTTCTTCAAAATTTATGAATTACCGGAACGGACCTGACCGTGCCACCCCTAACTCTACCCCTTCCCCGTCTTCTTACCATGTTGGAAAACTCCAGAACTCCCCCTTCGATCAACGTATTCTCACCCGGTCGGAAGCATACTTGTATAGTTGTATTTCTTCGCATCCCTGTCTCGCCCTCTGTTTCCACCAGTAAACAACATCAGAAAAAGCATGGTACTCCTCTTCTGCACTCGTCTCTGATCTCTCAATTTGCTTTCATTTTTTTCAGTAGTTTATACATCAAGCTTGAATGTTGAAAAATAATGTTGCCTACATGACTTACCTGGCTGTAGGTAAGGGAATAATTCTGAAACTAATCCGAGCCCAAATTTATTCTAAGATACTACATATATGTATATATCATATCTTCAAAGCTAGATGTATATCAAAAGCAATAATATATATTTCCTTCTTAAAAGCTAGAAGTATTACCTGATATCAGCTGAATCAGTTTTTTATTTGGTTCAAACAGTTCTTTTTCTTATGAGATTCTGAGTTCCAATTAATCTATGTTTCATATAAATAAGTTGAGTTGGATTCGGTGTTGAATAGTTTGCTATCAAAATCATTTCTCATATACCTTTCTAAAGTTTTTCCCAATGTTATTAAGAGACTTTGTAATTTGTTATTGTGCCAGTGATAGCATAAGTTGGTAGTCAATATACTACTTGACAGTTCTGGGTAGGCATGTTTTCATTAAAGTCAAGTTAGAGCTTAGAATTTATTTTGTACTTTCCACAATAAATGTGTTCATTTATTTTGTTTATTAAAACTGATAAGAATTAAGAGGACATGATTATTTGTTTATTTGGAAGTGCTTTACAGAGTTCCTGTCATCCTGTGTGAGAATTATTAAAAAAGTTCTTTCTTATGTTAGTAAAACAACTGATTGACGGAAGCATGAAAAAGAAAAATTATATTCAACACAAACACTCAAATATCGTTTCATTTAGTTCTGGGAGCTGATCAGATTTTATTTAGTGGTTCAAAGAATTGCTTTTCGTATGATGCCATCTATTCATACTGAACCACTCGTGTGTGTGTTTCAATAGTTCTCTGCATAATTAATGTAAGCTAAAAAACAATTGTATTTAAATATGAGACTCTTTGCATAGAGAATTTGTTTATACCCTCTACATTTTGGCTCATTAATTTTCTTATATAACTTGTGGTCGTTCAATGAAAGATATGTACATACATTTAAGAAGGGTCACAAAAGCGATGAAGTATGGTAAACTGAATTCTTCATTTAATCTGGATTTAAGTACGAAAGTTTTTTTCTTTTACACCAAAAGTACAAAAGTTTTTAAAAATGGTTACATATTTTTCTGTAAGGAAAAAATGGTTATCTTTTGATAAAGATTTTATGGATAAATCTATCATTGTTCTATTTAAAAACTCTATATATACATCCAAGTATATATTACGGAGTATATTTTAAAAGTTATTCAAAGTAAAGATATTCAAATTAGTATAAAGCTGGATAAGCTAGATAAATGAGGATAAGCTAGTATAAAGCTGGATAAGCTATATAAAAATTAGTAAAGATATTCAAATTATACGGCTTGAGCTTGAGGGACGTGATGCTTCTTGAGCCTTAATTTTTAAGTCAGCAGCATGTTATAGAATTTCTGGATGTATTGTGAATTTAATATTAATAATAGTGTTTGATTATTTATATAATTTGTTTGCCACGTGTGTTCAGAATATCTCTTGTGCATACTGTTTATTGTATTGGGCGGGAACAGTTATGTGGGAGACGGTCCCATTTTTATATATCTAAAGATAGCTTATTATCTAATATTCAAAATTAATATTTTTAGTGGGTTAAAAGCTATGTTTGAATGGGAAACAAACTTTGTGTGCTTCTTCTATAAGATAATGATATTTTTATTCAATCACATTGAACTATCAAAATCTTTTGGGACTAAGGCTTGGATGTTGTTGTTGTAACTTTCAGAATCCGTTTGAAGTTTCTCCACACATGGAAAAGGTTTTGTGTGAGCGACTGTTGGATAAGAATCAACCTATTGCCGAGCGCTTCAGAGCCCTATTCTCTCTTCGCAATCTCCGCGGCACAGGGCCACGACATGCTCTTATACATGGTTTGTTATGTCCCTAGTGAAAATTTTAAATTACCCCGTAAGTTAGAGATTCAAGTATCGAGTATGTGTTCAAAATGCTCATGGCCTTCACATTGAAGTTCACTCTTGGTGTTAGTTGGAAGATCTTGAAAAATTTACAAATGCTTTGTAGAAAAGAATATCCCAAACCTTTTCCAAACTAAAACATTCTCTATCTGCCATAGGAATCAATATGTTCTTCACCAAGCTATATTATTATTTCAACATAGAAATAGGATTGGATCTAATTGACCTAATATCCATTGTTGTTCATATGTTTTTTTGTTTCTTCTACTTCATTATCTAAGAGTCACAATTAGCAATTTTAGTTTATGCGTAAGCATAGAATACCTATATATTCCTCTGTATCTCATGTTTGTGCAACTTATCACGTTGTAATGCATTTTTCTCTTTCTTTCCCACCAATCCTTTCAACTAAGCAAAGTAGGTTACCTTCCATTCTTCAACCCTTGAAACTAGTTGAGAGTGAAGAGATTGTATTCAGTTTTGTATCTACAATAGGATACAATGCCTCATTATATAGGCACAAAATGAAGGCCTAGTAAAAATTGCTTCGTTTCATATGCTCCAACTTCTCTCTAGGAAGTCTTCTAAAATCCGGTGGTGCCTTCTGTTTCAGCTCCAGCGGCAGGAGCACCTCATTCCTATGCTTCCGTCATTAACGCGGTCAAAGATGGAGCGACTCCATCAGAGCTGTAAGGATGCTCTCTCTTACCCCCAAAAGCCCCCTCTCGATTTAAAGGTGCTCCTGCTGCTTTTTCTCAAAGACTGACGTCTTTACTATCACTACTAAGCATCCATATGCCCTATTTTTTTCTTTCCATATGGGTAGATCATCTATGATTCTCCGTGGAAATCATCAGAAGGCCTAGGCTTCTCCAAATCTTTTACTACTTGACGTATTGACGATAAGCATGTACTCTTTGAAAATTGTTGTGAATCTGATTTCCAGCAATTCTGGTTGAGGAAGACTTGGTTTTTAATGGTTTTGAAATCAGGGTCACAAAATGGACCACTGATTTCATGCTAAATACCGAATCTCCTATCTCTCCAGTTTGGATTTCCCTGGACAGTCTCCCTATCCATTTATTTGATGAATCTGCTCTCTTTTCGATTGCTGGTCTGATTGGAAAACCTGTTAAAATTGATCCATCCACCCTAAGGCTATCCCGGCCGTCCATGGCAAGGGAATGTACTGAGGTGGACATATCTGTTAATCTACCATCCAAAATTTTGGATTGGTAATGGCTCTACGCCTCTACCGGTTTTTTTCATCTGGTCAACTATGAGGAGGTTCCCTTATTCTGCAATGGATGTAAAATCTTTGGTCATAATATTAAAAGCTGCAAACAAGGGACTTCCGGTAGTGAACCTGCTTCAAACAAGCCCCCCATCAAAAAATGGATCCCTAAAAATCTATCCAACGGTGTGATAGAAACGAGATTTTGTAGAAGTAAAATAGACGTAGATTGATAATGAAACTGAAATGTAAAATTACGGATGAGGCAAGTTCGAGAGTGCCTCCTCTCCCAGTCCTATTCCAAGCCCCAAACCAATTTCTGCCGAACCCTTTTCCCCTTCCCTGCTCATTATTATAACTCTCCTAATGGGCCAGCCCACTGCTATTTAGTTATCGGGCCTAAACCCCTTTTATTGTACCCTATTAAAAGACTTGATAGGATTCTTATTACTAGTAATGTCTAGGTCTCTATCATGGTGAAACCCACACAGTTGTCCTTGATGATCCAGTGGTGACCTCCAATGATTCAGTTCAGGAGAAACACCCGACAGGCCTCAGTAAAAATGATAATAATGCATTCCTTATTGCTGAAACTGTAATTGAGTTATCCAAGTTCTTGCAAATGTTATGGAGCCTACTGTCAAGGAGCATGATGTTCCCTATACTGGTGAGCCTCTTATTATTGTGCCTGTACATGTTTTGGAGCCTATTATTGTCTCTGCTAATACTAATGACTCACCTACTGTCAAGGAGCATGATGTTCCCTATGCTATTGAGCCTCTTATTATTGTGCCTGTACATGTTTTGGAGCCTACTATTGTCTCTGCCAAGACTAATGAATCATGTACGAAGGCCCCAGAAGTTATTGCTAACATCAAAGAACCATGTGCTACTGCTCTTAAGGGTACACACAACCCTCCTGATGATAATTTTTACTTGTCCAATGATGCAAACAATAACAGTAGGGCAGAAGAGCCATCACTAGCTCCCCTTTTCTATACCCCAGCTGAGGAAAATCTCTCCCAAACAATCCCTCTACAGAATGGCTAATAACCCAGTCCACAAAATCCTTGACCTGTTATGAATCCCGACCGCAAAACGATTTTGAAGATGATGAACTGGACAATCTATCCATAATAGACATACCGATAGAAGATGATACTTTAAACGGCTTCACTCTGGTGGTTCCAAGAAAAAATAAAAGAAAGATTCAACAGCAACAAACAGCGTCAATTCAGGTGCCAAATGACAATATTAGAGGCTATAATCAGCACATTCGGAGGCGAAGGTTTGCGCTCCATACATTCTAAGGGCGATCAAATTTCATCAAAATACAACAAAGACATATCAATGCAGGCTGGTCTCCCTAACAACTTTACCTTTAGGGTCAGTTAGTTGTCTCTGTAACTTTTGTCATTTTTGTATCTTTAAGTTTGCCTTTCCTATGCCCGGGGTAAGGTTTTATGTCCCCCCAATTGCATCTTTAGTTAATACAATAAGGTAAACGATTCCTGACGTTTGCCACATTTTTAAAAAAGGCATGAAAGGAAAACTTTAGGGGGAAAACTTGGCACAAAACCATTTTTACTAAAACCATGTGCTACGTCAAAGGCTAACTTAAGTCTCATTGAGTCCCTTTTTACACATCTCAGTCTAACTTTTCGTGAAGGCGTGATGTTGCCACCCGCCACCATTTAACCATCTGACTGTTGCTTATGTCATCTAAGTTAGGAACACAAAAAATCACATTGGTTTTCATTCCCTTCATCATTACAATTCCTCAAAACTCTAATTGCCCTAATAGTAATTTTTTTTTTAATTTGGGCATAATTTATTCAGTTCTCTGGCGTGGACCACTTATGTAATAGCCAAAAGTTAGACTGAAAATCAAAGATATTAAAACAGAAGGGCTCTCTGGGGCTTAAGTTACTGCTTATTATGCTCATCAGGTGCAATTAGAAATTTAGGGGGGTTCAGAAATGTGTTTTTTCCGCTTTTAGGATTTGTTTTATCCTCATCCCAAATAGTTGGGGTCGGTGGCTTAAATCTATAGTTCTAGTTAATTTCCTAAAATTATAGTGCTATTGATTAATTTATGGATGTATTTAAAAATACTTCCTCTATTTTACTTGTTTCCCTCATTTTATCGAAGCTTACTAGTTTCAATAAAATCCTTCCTCATATTACAGTATTTACTAGCTCCGCTTTCCATTATTTGTAACTTTTTCTACCTTTTATCATGTGTTTCCGATGTTACTTTTAATTCCCAAGTTAAAATCATTAGCAAAAGTGAAGGGAGTATGGTTCAAGAAAATAAATTTACATTTCCCTTAAACTGGAGCATGCAGTAAATGGTTCAAGCTTATTAGTTTTTACATATGTATTCAATATCATGTTTTCCTGAGGGTCTTAGTTAGGGCATACTCCCTCCGTCCTGCTATGTTTGTCCCATTTTACCTTTTCGGGAAGTCCCACTAAGATTGTCCCATACCAAATATGGTAAAGTTTGTGTGGCTCTAAATCATTCTTACTTTATTTTTACTTATCAATTTTATATCAACCACACAAACCCACTTTTCTTAATAATCATGCCACCTCCTCTTGTCCCTATCTTAGTGGGACGGAGGTAGTAATATATTTGGTCCTTCAATGCCAACTGTAGTGGTTATATCACCAATAGCAGCCCTATCAATGAGCAAATGGAGAATCAAGTTTAATATGGTTGGTTCTTTCAAGAATAATTGGGTTCAAAACCAAAAGAGGAACTCTTGCATATGACTGGGGGCATATCCTCTCTTTACCTTATATCACCTCTTTCCAATTTTACTCTTAATTCACAAGTTAAAATCCTTAGCAAAAGTGAAGGGAGTAGGGTTTAAGAATATAAGTCAGCATTTCATTTAAACTGGAGCATGCAGTACATGTGTCAAGCCAAGCTTGTACTGCATGCTCCAGTTTAAAGGAAATATTCTCAAACATTTTAAATTTGACTCACCATGCTTCAACTCTTCAAGGGACTTGGTGATTATTTAATCTATTTAATCTATATCACTAGAAACAGCCCTTTCCATTAGAAAATGGTGAATCAAATTTAAAATGTTTGATTCTTTCAAGACAAATGGGTACAAATTGGTAGACTAAATAATACTACTAACCCAGGTTCTGCCCCAACCAAGGGTTGGGCTCCTCTGGGTAAAAAGAAGAACTAATAGGAAACTACTACTAATAATAATACTAATAATGATAATAGTAATAATAATATAGGTTTCCTCTCTCATATCATAGATTTGTTCATCTACATTGTTTTGCTGTAAAAATAAATCTGTTGGAAAAGTTCTACCGAGTTTTAATCAAAGTTTTAAATTTTGACGTTCTTTAAACTTCCCATTAGCCTTCAGACGTTTCTCCTATGGACTTCGCTATGGATTTCACCCATCAAACTTATCCATTTCAAGTAAAGTGTTTTTGCCGTGTGGCATTTTTCTAGTTGCAACTAGCCTAGGATTTCAGGAGTACTGGAATTCATTTTTTTGTGTACACAGGCTTAAGCATGCTATTTTTTACTTAGTAACAAGAACACAATACACAACTACTCATTGTTCAGTTGAGACATTTTTCATGAAAAAAATTGCAAAACATCAGGCAAGGCGGCAAACTGGCAAATCCAGCAAAACTCAAACTCAGTACAGTTGCCAAAATCATGGACTCCAGCGAAACTCGACAGCAACTCATAAAAACAAAAAAAAAATGATTGCAGTAACTGAGAGAACTCTGTATGCTCTACGGAGTCTTCGCTGTTTTGCACTTAACAGCAGATTGGTTACTTTGACTTTGCAAGGAGAGGAATACCATAAAAGTTGCAGAGAGAACATGTTACAGTCATACAGAAAGATCAAACGGAGGAGACAGACAGACAGGCAGAGAGAAAAATCCCAGAAATGCAGGCAACTGGAGCAGTCTTGTGCTTCTTAGGTCATAATCCTTAGCTCTGCCCACAAATGATTGCATAGAAATCTCAAGCTTTTGAGAGATATCATTGGTGAAGTTGAGCCTTCTATAGATTCTGCTACGTTAATATAGGATAATATCCAGAAATAGTCCATATGTAAAATTTAGTGCATCGGTTTGTGGCTTTTTGTTGCTAGATTTTTAGGTCTTATATTACTTAAACATGTTTCATAGTAGAAAAAAGCATGGAGTAAGTTTCAGATTCTTATTTATAGTTTGCTCCTTGTAGCAACTAGGGACTCTTCAAACCTATTAGCTCATGAGGCTGCATTTGCATTGGGTCAGATGCAAGATGTTGATGCCATCCCGGCTCTGGCAGCAGTTTTGGGTGATCTTTCTTTGCATCCCATTGTTCGGCATGAGGTATATCATATTGAAATGTAAACAATTTGTGTTTACATTTATGTTTCTCGTGCTCATTTATGTACACATGCAAATTTCCCAGGCTGCAGAAGCCCTTGGGGCAATTGGTTTAGACTGCAATGTTCCCATTCTACAGGAAAGCTTGACCTCAGATCCTGCTCCAGAGGTTCGAGAAACATGTGAACTGGCCCTTAGTCGAATCAAGGAGCGGAAGGATGTTAAAAGTAGTGATGATACTTCATCCCGATTTCTGTCAGTTGACCCTGCCACACCTGCTTCTTGTTCCTCTGTACCACAACTCAGGTTTGTCAACTTATGGATTGTAACACTGTGGATCTGTCCTTTGGGTTTATGTATGAAATTGTTTTATTCCTGTCCACAGGGAAGTTCTTTTATGTGAAGAAAAGGGTATGTATGAACGCTATGCTGCTCTTTTTGCACTTCGAAATAATGGCGGAGAGGAAGCTATCTCTGCCATTATTGAATCATTAGGTGCAACCAGTGCTCTACTCCGACACGAGGTTTGTAATCCATGGCTATTTCTCTGCTGATTTTTTTATTAATATTAATCGATAATTAAAACTGGTATGCATTTTCTGTAGCAGCCGGTTTTCCCTTTCTTGATGTTTCCTATCTCTAAAGGTGTGTCAGTTTCATTGACTTGTTGAGCAGGTTGCATATGTTTTAGGTCAGTTACAAGACAAGAAGGCTTCAGATGCTTTGTCTATGACACTAAGGAACACAAATGAGCACCCTATGGTTCGACACGAAGCAGCTGAAGCTCTTGGTTCTATAGCAGGTTTTGCCACTCTCCGCAAGATGTATTGTTTTGATTTTACTATACTAATGGAAGTATAATTACCTTTCCTTTTTGTTCATTTTGAAATGGAACAATTATTACTCTGTACCTATTATTAAGGATCCCTTAATGTTAGGGAAATAGTATAAGTATACCCCTGTAGTATGAGTGTGGGAACAAATATACCCCTGTTCTATTTTTCGGAACCAATATACTCCTGAAGTATATGTTGAAGTGCATATAAACCCTTGAACTTTTAAAAGGAGCAAAAATACCCCTCATATTTTTATAAAAGAGCATATTTACCCTTATTGATTTTAAATTGATAAAATAAATTTCAAAAACACCAAAAATAAATTAAAATTCAAAATTAAAAACTAAATTTTTTAAAAAATGTTCTTGTGTCCAATTCTCCCTTATATTGTTTGTATATCACAATTTAATATTGTTAGTATAAAATTATTATTTAAAAAATAATAATTTTGCAATTTAAAATTAAAGAGTTAATATTTTAACATAATAATAAATCTTCATCTTTAAATATCGAATTTATAATTTATTTTTGGTATTTTTGAAATTAATTTTATCTATTTGAAGTCAATAAGGGTAAATTTGCTCCTTTATAAGAACATGAGTGGTATTCTTGCACTTTTTAAAAGTTCAGGGGTATATATGCACTTCAACATATACTTTAGGGTATATTTTCCGAAATAGGGGTATATTTGTTCCCACACCCATACTACAGGGGCATATTTGTACCTTTTCCCCTTAATGTTATACGTGGAGCTGTTTTTGAACCATGATATCGTTTCAGGATTTTCTGTTTAAGCATGTCTTCTTTTCACTGCTCAAGCTTGGTCTGGGGTCCTATTTAAAGATGACACATCAATACTCTTTTTAGCTTGGTCTTTTGCTCCTTTTTCGTTCATAGGAGACATGGTTATTTACTACTACTAATACAATAAATTTGTGTTTGTAGATTTTAACTCTTCCTCATATTATTCAACTTGTTTTTTATATGTTGTGTTGCTTTTGATAAATTGAAACGTTTTGTAAAGTCCCTTTAAACATGTTATTTTATTCCAAGTTTCTTTTGATGAAATAAAATTTGTTCTGTGATTATTTCTTTAATATGGTAGTTCCTTTTCATGACCATTCTTTCCTACCTCTCATGTAGCCCCACTTGTCTTGTAGATGATCATTCTATTGCTCTCCTTGAAGAGTTTGTGAAGGATGGAGACTCCATTGTTTCCCAAAGTTGTGAAGTTGCTCTCAGCATGCTCGATTATGAGAGATCAGGAAGATCTTTCGAGGTAATGATCAAAATGGACTAAGGATGTTTTCTTTTGGACTATTTTCAGACCAGACTTTCATAGTTATAAAATACACAGAGAACAGAGAGAACAGACATTTACCTGACCGGATCAGACCAACAAATTTCAGTCCAAAAGAAAACATCCTAAAATTTGGTTTTAGAGCAACGATAGTGAAACACGAAAATATGGAATATGTACATTTTTTGTGTACATTCATGTTTCATCCATTTATTGGGGTTGAAAAATTACCTAACTTTTCAACACCCAACGAATGAGTGCCACACATGTATGTACACATCTATTGTTTTATATAGTAAAGCTGAGTTATAAAACAATGATGTGACACTTTCTTATTGGTTAACAAAAACTCTATTTTATTAGTATTTTATTAGTATCACTAATAAAATAGTATTACTATTTTATAATCAATATGTGTGACTCTCTCATTGACAACGAAAATTCTATTATCACACAATTTAATTTCTAAGTTAATTAACGTTTTAGAAGATCATATAATCAAGTAAGAGTCTCCTCAAAAATGATAAAAACTTTTTTCCTAAATATCTATTTTTGGTTGGTTTTTTTCTTATCCAATATCGGTAACATATGAAAGATTGTGAAAAAAATGCTATACTTTATAAAAAAAAATGGATTAAAATCGTTAAAAAAAGGATTAAAAATAAAAAAAATTAAAACAATATACTTTATAATATAGTAAAAATGAGTTATGAATAACTTAATTGCCATTCCCTCATTGGCAAACAAAAAATTAAATAAAACCACATTCATCTAGACTTACAAAATGATAAATTTACGTGTGCTAACTCTAATTTGGATAGAGAGAATTCTCTAAATAGGAGTGAAAAGGTTTTAAAAATTTCAAAATAGGACTATCATGTTTTCATTCTCCAAATATGAGTAAATTTCTGCCAAGTTTGGCATTACTAGGCTTTAAACATGGCATTGTTTTCACACTTGACAGAATTACTCATATTTAGGGAATAAAAACATGAAAGTGCTATTTTGGAATTTCAAAACGTTTTTACTTCTATTTAGGACAATTTCTAATTTAGATATACAAAAATAATAATGACACCACTTATAGTAGGATATGAATCCTATTATCACTTTACATCACGGTTAATTTACATTTATCATTAATAGGGAACTAATAAATTAACTACTTTAATCTAGATATACCAAAATATAATTTACATCACTTTCATGTAGGACTCTAAAGTCCTAATATCACGTTACAAAATGATGAAACTTGCTATGTAAATAACTAACAGTCTCTATAAATAGTTCTGTAAACACTCCCTCCCTATTTTAAAGTTCCATACACTTCCATTTTGGGATGTATTTAAAAGTTCCATACACTTTTTTGGGTAAATTTTTCCTTTACAAATATTCAATTACACTTACTTTTTCTACTTTTTATCCTCTTTTTCCTACTTTTTCATTTTCTCTCCTACTTTTTCTATACTATTCATTACCCCTACTATTTTCCCTTAAATCTTGTGCCCAAAGCTAAATAGTTTTCATTTTAATTCATTTTAACATTATAGTACTCCCGGGGCATGCCCCGGGTGTTACACTAGTAAAATGTACAAAATTCACTTAGACATGATTATTGTTTGATTTATAGCTGTGTATATTGTTTGATTGACGAGAACTACATTCTTGTTTATTTCAGTTTCTTTTCACGTCTTCACGAGCTGAGCAGAATTCATAGTTATACCATATTTACATAGCAACATCTGGCTTATGTTACTCATAGCTTTGGACTGCTCCCTTGCAGTTTCTTCAGTACAAATTGATCACTGCACTGGCTAATTGCAATTTGCTAGCTATTTGTAATTTTTTCATGTTAGTCCTCTGGTAGTTCGGTGCTTACCTTCGGCCTACTATCTTTGAAAAAGAAAAGTTTAAGTATGTAATTGATGTTGAATTGGTAAAATATGAATAACTTTGAATCTCATATAACATTACCAAAAATGAGCCTATATGACACGTGCCAAATTTAGAGGAACAAATGAAAAAAGAAATACGATAGTATGTGACAAAAAGTTATGTGCAACTGCCATTTTTTTAATATCTATTCTGCTATTCACGTTACCGTTTGTAAATTTGTATTATTAACTCAGTGGACATCAATTAATCTCATCCCTCTATCTTATTTAGGAGCTGTTTACTTTTTTTTTTTAAATAAAATAATCCATACTAAGTATGGTTCTAAAAATCGCTCTAGGCGCCCGACTAGTCCCCGCCTAGGCGCTGGGCGGTAGTCGGACGCCCCGATTTTAGTCTAGGCGCTCCGGCTAATTGATTTGGCGTCTAGGTGAATTAGTCGGCTGCCTAATTGCCTAAGGCACTTAACTACCCGCCTAGAGCGCTTAATCGGCCGCCTAGGCATCTAGATTCATCGAACATTTTATTTTGCTTTTTATTTTAGTATTTTAAGAGATATATGTATCTTTAACTCTAACAACGCATATGAAGAAAACTACTAGTTGTAGATTAAAATAAATACTATACATGTTTTTATATATATTCTTAAGTGTTATAATTATTTATTAATAATTATTACGTACGTAGTGTTCCTTAAGTTAAGAAGTATGTATAATATGTTATTAAATGTGAAAACCTCTTATCATTCATGCATGTTAGTGTGTGTATGTGCGTGTTTACATTTTTGTATATACACATAAACTTAACACAACATTACTAATCATATTTATGCAAAAATATTAATAAAACCATAATTTTTATGTCTCCGATTAATCCCCGCCTAGGCGCCCGCCTAGCCGCCTAGGCGCTAGGTGATGTGTTGGCACCAGACTAGCGCCTAGCGCCTTTTAGAACATTGATACTAAGTGTTACTTTGCATCCCAATAACATTACATGAGAAGGTGATGTTAATAAAAGGGGATTTATATAGTTTGATATTTAATTGATAAAGTAAGAATAATGTAAAAACTATTTAGAAATCACATAAATTTTACCAAATTCACAAGAACAAATGAAAAAGGAATTTTTTGTGCTAAGGAGTTATATACTCTTCCCATTTTTATCTATTCGCGTTGACCGTTTTTTAATTTGTATTATGAAGCTGCTGGACATTAACTGACCCAACCCTCTCTATATGCCTCGTTTGTGAGCTATTTACTTTTGTTTTTTTTTCAAGTAAGTCCTGTTTTGACTCTGGATTAGGGCCTTTAGGGGTGTTTGAATTAATTCTGTTTCTGCAATTTTTTTAAAAGTACAATCAAATTCAATTTTTCAAAAGCTGGTCTCTCCCTGTGGATTAGGGTTGGAGTTTCTCGGCGGCGTTCTTCTTCTTTTCGATCGCGAAGGGAAGACGGCATCAGCTCGAGGTGTTTGATTGGGCTGGCACGGGCCTTGGGACTGGTGCACAGCAGATCGTTGAAGGCTTTCGAATGCAGCAGGGGTCGGGCAGTTTGGATCGCGGTTTCGCTTGGATCATGGCCTGCTCGTTTGTGTTACTGTTTTCAGTTGGGGAAATACCATCAGGCGGAGATTCCGGGTTCACTCGTGCTATAATTGCAGGGGGTAAGAAGGTGTCTTTGGAATTTGTGGTGGTAGAATCGCAAGGAATTTTTCAAGACGAAGGTTTGATGATCCGCCCCCCTCCTGAGCCACCGCCAAGGATGACGCTTGATTCTTGAAGCATGGATTCGTTTTCGCTGTCAGTTTAGTTTATTTAATTTCGTTTTACTCTTGTTGAGTTTCTTTGACATGATGAATTCTGTCGGTGTTGCTTTCTGTATTGTCGTTTTCAGTCAGACTCTTACATTAGATAGGGGTGATGGGGTTTTTGCTCTAGCCACGTTTGGCTCATTCAGACCCATTATAGGACAAGCGAATCATATTGCTCTATACAGGGTGATTGATTCTCCAGCTGGTCCGAGGGTCGGTGGCTGGAAGTATTTCCTTTGTCGTTTGTATCCCTTGCTGAATGTTTTATTATCAATATAGCCCCCTGTTACAAAAAAAAGCTGGTCTCTCCCAATTTTTAAAAAACTACTTCTATGAATAATTTGAAGCATTCAAAGTCACTTCTGCACACTCTAATATGTGTTTCTATTTCCTAAAAGGAGCATAAACATATTTAAGAAGTAGGTTCTCTATGATGTGACAAATTTAGAAGAACAAATGAAGAAAAATAAAATTGTGACAAATTCACAAATTTAGAGGAACAAATGAAACAAGAAAAGTGAGACAAGCTGTTATATACTCGTGCCATTTATTTTAGCTATTCACATATACCGTTTTTAATGTGTATTAAGAAGTCAGTGGACATTAATTAGAAGGTTTTCAAGAAATATTTATTATAAACAATGGAATAAAAATGATTGAGTAATTTTTAATGACTATAATTATATTCAAAGATTAAAACATATTTACTAATCACATCATAATACAATTATAGTCACTAAAAGTTATCAAATCACATTTTGTTCACCACTTTTGTAGGAGTAAAATTAGTGGATTTTTTTTCCTTTAGCCCTTTCCATGCGTGTTACTAAATTACATTTAAGAAACTAAAATACGACATATTTTTAAAAGTCGTAAAAAATGACATATTTAGTGACTAGTTTCCAATGATTCATCACTTACCAATGATGTGTCACTCTGAAATGTAGTATAATGACTCTTGTCTAGTTATTTGTATACAGTGACTAGTCATACGTTTGTCCAAAAATATAACTAGTCGTATTTTTGTATGAGGAAACTCTGTTAGTAATATATACTCCGTATGTCATTTTTCATTAATCAACCTCATTCCTCTATATGCCTCATTTAGGAGTTGTTTACTTTTAATTTTCAAATAAGTCATGTCTGAATTAAAATGTCTATCTGGATTAAGTGTTGCTATTTCCGTCCCAATAATATTGAGACATGAAGAGATGATGTGGCTATTAAGAAAAGTGATTATATATATTATATAGTTGATATTGAATTGATAAAGTAAAAATAAAATAAGAAACCAAGTATGGTTTATAATCACATAGATTTTGCTAAATTTGGTATGAGAAATCTTAGTGGGATGAAGCGAAAAGAAATGATGAGACGTTCTTAGCGGGACGGAGAAAATATATATTTGTATATGAGGTGCTTTGTTTTGAAATGCTTAATAAACAGTTTGAATTAATTAAATAATTAATTTAATGTTATTCTTGAATTTCATTTATTTATTTACATAATTGTATTCTGAAAGGATGCCGATGTAGAGGGGCGGTGTGAAGCTCTTATGAATTACGGAGTATGTTATTAGTTCTGATCTTACTTTCATTTTATGGTTTATTACAATGTGATGTTATTTATTGAAACCTTTGGCATTAGTTTAGCATGAATGATAGACAATTTAGCTAGTTATTAGGTGATTAGAAGTAGGGATATATTTACTCGGACTGAAATTTTTCTGATTTGCTTTGGTTTGATCTAGTTTGATTCAGTTTGTTTCGTTTGGTATAGTTGGTCTAAATTGGCATGATCTGATAGATATTTTCTCTTTGTATATTTAAATAGTATTTTTAGAATGATCAAGATTTGATATGATTTATTTAAGTCTGATTTAATTTGGTCTGATTTGTAACTGAAATAAATCCAAGTAAAAACATCCTTTTCAATCTAAAAACCTCCAAGTAACTATATAATAATGAAAATGCAATCTTTTTGGAATTGAATTTAGATATAATAATATTTTAATTAAAGTATCATAGTAATAGTAATTTCTTGATGAACTTTTTTCAAAAGATTTTTTTGATGGAATAATAAAAATAATACGGAGTAGCAGTAGTAATAATAATTAATATTAATAATAACATTATAATAATATTAGTATTAATTAATGATAATAATAATAATAGTATACTCGTAGTAATAAACGGGGAGCCAAAAGCGCCCAAGTTTGCGAAGCGGTACACCAAACACGGCACTCTCTCACAGCTGATAAAATCGAGTCTCCTGGCCCTGTGATTCACACGAACCCTAGTGCTCAATTCATTCCTGACTGAGAGATTCTCAGTACTCAACAAATCCCACCCAGAAATGGCGTCTCGGAGGCTTCTAGCCTCACTTCTCCGATCATCCATCGCCAGTCGCGGCAGCTCAGTTTCCAGATCCGTCGTCGGAAACTCTGTACCCAGGCCTAGACATACATCGCGTGCATCCCCAGCGGGCTATCTCCTAAATCGAGCCGTTCGTTACGCTACCTCCGCCGCGGCCCCAGCTGAGAAGCCCGCGACGAAGCTCCCTTCCGGAAATGAGCCGACAGGGAAGATCACGGACGAGTTCACGGGTGCCGGATCGGTCGGGAAAGTCTGCCAGGTGATTGGAGCCGTCGTGGATGTCAGATTCGACGAGGGTTTGCCTCCGATCCTAACTGCTCTCGAGGTTCTCGACAACCAAATTCGACTCGTGCTGGAGGTGGCGCAGCACTTGGGTGAGAACATGGTTAGGACAATTGCTATGGATGGTACTGAAGGGCTTGTCCGTGGCCAACGTGTTCTTAATACAGGCTCTCCTATCACTGTGAGTTATCTTATGCTTTTCTTGACTGTCTTATGTACAAAGGTTGTTTCTTTAATTTGTAAACATAAGGATTATGGCATTGGGGCGCAAATGCCTTTATCGATTCAAATTCTTTTAGATCTTGAATTGGGAAATCAGTGATCCATCCACATACCACACATTTTCTAGATGTCATCTGTAAGTGTGCTTGTTAATCCAATGTGATTGAAACCGAGGTTCTTATGCCATCGTAGTGGGAAGGAAATGCAATTATTAAAAGTGTCAAATGTCATATTTTGTTTGTGGCTGAGCATATTTCCATTTTGCTGCCATGTTTTGGATGTTCTATAATATTTGAGAGACCCTTTTTTTGTATTCACTTATGTATCGGGATTGTTTTTTTGGGTTTTGGAATTGCAGGTTCCTGTTGGTAGGGCCACCCTTGGTCGTATCATCAATGTCATTGGAGAGCCCATAGATGAGAGAGGCGAAATCAGTAAGTCCTAGAGTGCTTTTGAAAAGAAGTAATGCTATTATTAGACATAACTAGTCTTATAAGGCCCACACTTTTAAAAAAA